TCAAAATATATATTTACCAAACAAAAAGAGTTAATAAACAGTAAATCAACAAGTATGAAGTCTAACAGATTATTAACTTACTTATATCTATATGACATAGAAACTGTCCACAATGCCTCTCATTAATGAGTTTACCACAATCCGGAATGTGTTCTGTTTTCTTTGTAGCATGAATGCATTACAGATCAAACAAGGAATAAATTTTCTAAAGCATTGTAAATGTTCATGACAGCATCCATTAATTATTGACTGTAATGCATACCTTTAGCATGAAATACAATTTTTGTTTTCAAGGTATGTGGAGACCTCTAAGGAAAAATTACCTACATTCTAAATCTAAGCAATATTGTTATGCTCCTTGTTTAAAACATATCACATATTTTATTATACAGTGAAATTAATTTCAGAGTAAAGACTGACTTCTATCTCCCTTTTCTTCCTTCAGCTGCTCCTTCTTGTTTCTTAAATAACCTTCCTGAGGCCCAGACCTGAACCTTCCCTCTTACTCTGCCTTTTTACCCTTAGTGACATTTGCTGCATGTCCATCTCTCCATCCCCACTCTCTCTAGCCCTTAGCATTGCTCAACCCTCCTTGCCTTCTTGCTCTGTCCTGCCCATTGCACTTCCCTTCCTTCTCTTTCCTTGCTGCTGCTGGAAGATACACTTTAAGTATTTCTTACAGGCCCATTACATTTCACTGTCCACACATTCTGGATACCACCCCAGATCTTCCTCTGCAGCTCCAGTCTCCTAGAAGGATTTCCATTTCCCAATCCATCCCTCACTCTCACGCTTGGGGTGCTCCCAGTCCAACTTCCTCACCATCCTCATCACTCCTTTATCTTCTTTTGAGCAATATCTCTGCTCATCTCCCGTCCGAAGAACTGTCAGCTGGCCACTCTGCGACTCTTTTTTCAGCTGACTCTCTGCAATTTCAGCTGACTCTCTTGCCTTCCTCACAACTTTTCACACATCCTCATGAAGCTTCAGGTTCCATGCTGATGTCCTTGCTGACACCATATAGCAGACATCCCCATTTTTCCTTGCCCTGGCCTGATCATTTACTCTGCACCCATCACTTGGTGTCCCGCTCCCTTGACGTGGTTAGTAGCAACCATTGCTGTTTCAAATCTCTGTTGTCCCATCCTTCCCTGACCTCATTCATTGCCTGCTATGTCTTTTCTCATGCCCTCTCATTTGTTTTTTTTCTATGATTTTCATTTCATCAGCTTGATATGATGTCATATAATCTCAGTCCTCTTCCTTCTGCCCCATCTTTCTTCTCCAGCACAGATTTGACTGTGGATTCTCTCTGCTTTTTGCTCTCCATTCCTGTCTCTTAAAGTATGAATTTGGGTTATCACACATATACCTCAGTCTGCCTTCTGCTTCGTTTTCCTGGCCAACCTGTGATCAGGTTTGCTTTCTCCAAGAACATTTAATTGCCTCCCCTTCCAGTTGTGCCATCCTCCTCACTTTTTCTTCTACTTTTTCAGTGTAACTGGAAACCTGGCTGCTTTTCACCACTTTTAATGCTCTGTTGTTTTTCCTCAGCTCTCATTCCCATTTGGCCTCTTTGGGCTGTCTTAATCTCTTGTAAATTTTCTATTTTAAGACAACTTGCTGCATCTGCTGCTTTCACTGTCTCTGAGGACATGTGATATTGTTTCATGCCTCTCCCCTGTACATTTTTAATTTTTATCTCCTTCAGGAGCATGAACTGTGCTATTATTCCTACTGTGATAATTCAGATGAAACTTTTCTCTTTCAATGCAACCTTCTCTAACTTCTGCCTAAAAACCTGAGGAGTCTATGAAGCACCTCATCAGTGTGAATAAAAACAAGAGATTTTAATCTTTTCCCATCCTCCATCCTTCCTGCTGCCTTCATTCATTATCACCATGGATCACCCTCTAAGCCTATCATTGAGTATCCATCTCTGACCGGGATATCTTCCTAGAGCTTCATGTATCAGACCAGACCAGTCAGACCACAAAATTAGTCTTCATTATGCATTTCCAAACTGTCACTCTTGTGCTTTCTCCCATGCTTTTCCTCTTAATTAGGGTGAACTGACCACAAACATAAACCACTCTTTTACATGGAGAGTTTATGGGAACACGACAAATCTTTCCTGAAAGCAAAACAAAACAAAACAGAGCCATCTTCTTGGCACCTTGCAATACACTGTCCACACACCGCTATCTACGCTGGGGGTCAGCGTGGTTTTACAGCTTCCTTGTGCTCCCTCTTGTGTCTGCTGTCAGACCACGACTGCTGACTTCTGAGAAAACACTTTTAAATTTTGCATATCTAGCCTCAGAGCTAAGGTTCCTACAGTTTCAGCTAAAGAAGGGCACACAATATTTGGTGAAAGTTGATCTGTAGTGTTTCAAGCTGGCTGTTCACACATCAAAGCACAATGCAGTCACTAATCTCTTTTGAAAATGTAGATCCAGGTTATTATTTTTAGCTCAAAATTTTAGGAACAAATTCCAGTGTCTTTATGCTGTCAGCAGCACAGAGTATCCACAACCTCAGCTACTTAACCATTATTCCGTGGAAAAAGGGAAAAAGTATCAGTAACTATTCTGAATACAGAGCTCTAAACACCAACTAATTCAATGAAAAAACAATCTCTGTTTACTTTTTTTACGACATTTGGAGAGAGTGGAAATCCTTATCCTTGCTTGGTGGTGCTGGTGTTGTTAGTGAAAAGTCCTTTACAGAGTCCATTTGATTTCCTACCAGAGGTAGTATAAAAAAAGATTGATTGTCATACATGGGGAAGATCCAAAATAGGAATTTTGGAACAAAACAAAAAATAAAATAAAATAAAATAAAATAAAATAAAATAAAATAAAATAAAATAAAATAAAATAAAATAAAATAATAAAATGAATGAAAGCAAGCAGAGCAGCAGGCACATGCCCTGGTCTAGCCCTGCTTTTAACACCGATAACACAGTTTAAGAGCTGAGCGTCCCTTGAAAATAGGCATCAGGGTTCTGGGAAGGGAGATCACCAGCAGAAAAAGTGACAATTTGCTTTCATTGCATTGCTGTGCAGCTGTGGGTAAGGAGCATCGCTGCTACAGAAATATATATCAAACTGGAGAGCTTCTGTGAAACAGGATGATGATGTATAACAATAACATCAAAAGCTAACTGGAATTATGGTAATGTTGAGGAGAAGCAGGTAAAACACCTTCCCTCCCATGCAGATCCTCCCTCCCTGTCCTCCCCAGTACCACGCTGCTGTCACCCACTGTCACCCTGCTGTCAGCAGGGCACTGGCACACACCAAGGAGACCTCAGCAAGTAGGGACAGCCAGGCAGCAGCTGCGAGCACTGCCATCCTGTGGGGCTGCATGAAACCAGCAGCAGGAGCCCTGAGGTGTTAAATTTACTGTCCTGTGAAAAGAGGAGACGCTAGATTTGGTGAGTGAAGTATGAGGAAGAAAAAGGGAAGGTCAAAAGCAGCAGGTAGCTATGTATGTTTAACAATAAACCCCTCAACTCACAGCCTAATTTTAGGCTTTCTGCTTGTACCCGCTTTTAGTCCTTGCTTGAGAAAAAGGTCTCTTGAGGCGATCTCTGTCAATTTCTTAGAAGCAGGGGAAAGCCTCCATCTGCTCTTGATAGCTAAGGTGCAAAGGGTACTCTGGGATGTTACAGCTGTTGTCGGTTTCCCAGAGCTGAGGTTCATGAGAAAAGACCTCTACCTCAACAGACCCAAGAGCAGCAGAGGGCAAGAGAGCCTGCGGATCAAATTTACAGCCTTATTGACTCGTGCTAACATACACGTCAGCGAGAAGAGATTTGCTGTCCTGAAGGGAATGTCTCTTCGTGGAATGGCCAATCTTTTAGCACCTATGTTAAGGTGAATCCTATTTCCATTATTGATACTATATTACCAGATTGAAGCTGACCTTATTGCCCTCAGTATTCCTCAGCAAAACATTGTCCTACAAGACATTTGAATGCCTTTTTAGGGTAAACTCATTGGTACAATTTGCATGTAAGTGTTTTGTGTATGTAAGGCTCTCGTGAGTGTTTCATGTAATGAAGTCACCCAGCAGGGAACTACAAGCTCTTAGGGGTGCCAGCTAGAAAGAACACAGGAGAAGCACGGAAAGCAAGGAGGAAGGCGTGTGATCTTCATTTGGGACTGGTGCACCTCACTGTGTGCTGGGTGCTGAGTGAAGGCAGGGTTTCACTGCAGCCTTCACTGAACTTTCCCAACTGGCATGAGCCAAGCAACTCGAGCATTGCCGGGCACGTGCCTCTCGGGGTCCCTTCCCTCCGTGCGCTGGAGGTGACCGGCTGCGGCTCCTGCAGAGGCTCTGACCTTGCCAGGCTTTCAGGAGGACATGTGTCAGTCACACTGTGCCCTCTGTGGGGAAGCCGGGCCATGGGGGACGCGGGGATACTGCGAGACCTCCATGCCGGTGGGGTTTGAGGTCATGCTGAAGGGTGTCGGAGACAGAGGAGCCGTCCCCGTCCTCGCTTTGGGGAGGACACTCCTGGTGTGTGTGAGCACCCACACAGCACCCTGCCACCCCTGAGGGGACCATGCAGCCCCTCAGTGTGGGGACACGACCCAGTGGCGGTGCGAGCCCCCGCACGGAGCCATCACCCCAAACCCTCCTGCTTCTTCACATCGCCCTCATCCCCCCGGCTTCTGCCACACGCTGAACTGCCGCGTCCCTGCCAGGCCCCCCGGCCCCCGCGGAGCCTCCCGGAGCTATTAATACGGCGGGCACATGCTCTGGCGCCGCGTCCCGGGCGGCCCGCAGATAACTTTAATTTGCCCTTTAAACGTCCCGAGCCCGCCGGCCCTCGCCGCCCCGAGGAGGGGGGGGGTGGAGAAGATGGCGGCACCGCCTCGCGCCCCCCGCCGGGGGAGGGCCGCCGGGGGGTCGCGGCCAATGGGCGCGCCCCGGGGGGCCGCCTCTTCCTATCGCGAGAGGCCGCAGGCTATAAGGGGGGCGGCGCGGGGCCGGGGGCCATTTGGCCGGGCGGGCGGGGAGGTGGGCGCCTCGCGGGGGGTGACGGAGCCGCTGCCGAGATGGGTGACCAAGCGCTCAGCTTCCTCAAGGACTTCCTGGCCGGGGGGGTCGCTGCCGCCATCTCCAAGACGGCCGTCGCCCCCATCGAGCGGGTGAAGCTGCTGCTGCAGGTGAGCGGGCTCGGGGGGCGCCGCCTGCCCTTGGGGGTGCTGGAGGAAAGGGGGGGGGGGGGAAGGGGTCGCGGCGGGGCGGGCGTGCGGGTGGTGCCGGCACAGCACAGCACGGCTCGGCTCAGCTCGTCCCGGCTCGGCTCGGCTGTCCCCGGCTCGTCCCGGCGTGCCTAAATAAGGGCAGGTGCTGGGCCGGCTCCGGTTACGCTCCCGGGGCAGCGGGAGCCGGGCCAGGCGGCGGAGGCGCTGCCCTTGGGCCGGCCGTGGCGCGGGGTGACCGGCGCTGTGTCCTTCTCTCTGCCCTCCCTCCCCTCCTCCTCCTCCTCCTCTCTTCCTCCACACAGGTCCAGCACGCCAGCAAACAGATCACGGCGGAGAAGCAGTACAAGGGCATCATCGACTGCATCGTCCGCATCCCCAAGGAGCAAGGCATCATCTCCTTCTGGAGGGGCAACCTGGCCAACGTCATCCGCTACTTCCCCACCCAGGCCCTCAACTTCGCCTTCAAGGACAAGTACAAGCAGATCTTCCTGGGGGGAGTGGACAGGCACAAGCAGTTCTGGCGCTACTTCGCCGGGAACCTGGCGTCCGGGGGCGCCGCGGGTGCCACCTCCCTCTGCTTCGTCTACCCGCTGGATTTCGCCCGGACCCGGCTGGCGGCTGATGTGGGCAAAGGAGCGAGCGAGAGGGAGTTCACGGGGCTGGGCGACTGCATCGTCAAGATCTTCAAGTCCGACGGCTTGAAGGGCCTGTACCAAGGATTCAGTGTGTCTGTCCAGGGCATCATCATCTACAGAGCAGCCTATTTTGGGGTTTATGACACGGCCAAGGGTAAGAAGTGGATGGAGCGGTGAACACAAGGGAAGATCCAACAAATAAAGGCCCACGAGGGCACGCTGCCCTGTGAGGACAAGCAGGGCTTGGCTTAGTACCAGTTCAGGGTGCTATTGCTGGAATAAGCACAGGTGTTTCTGAAATGCATTTTGGCTTTCCTCAGTTCGCTGCTCTGAGCAGAAGCCATGGGTTTGCAGTGTGTTTCCAGACACCTTATAGTTTCTCTTCTTATTTCTGTTTTCTTAAGGCTTGTACAGATGGCTTGTTGCTCCCTGTACTTCATGACATGAGGAGAGGTTCTCCAAGAGAGGTCAGGAGCACGAAGTAGGCTCTATATCACAAAATCCAACAATCCTATAAACTCACTTCACTCATTGCACCTGTTCATGGTCAAATATGGACAGAGGGAGAAGTTGTAGGCATGTTCCTGTTGTTTAGGTTGAGCAACTCCTGGGGTTGGTGGGTGATGGTTCCTTCCAATCATCTTTCCCACCACCCTTTCCCTCTGTACTGACTCTCATCATTTGTTCTTGATGACAGGTATGTTGCCTGACCCAAAGAACGTGCATATCGTAGTGAGCTGGATGATTGCCCAGACTGTCACGGCAGTAGCAGGGCTGGTTTCATACCCTTTTGATACCGTGCGACGTAGGATGATGATGCAGTCTGGCCGAAAGGGAGGTAAGAATAAGTCTACTCTTGTGGTGTTCTAGCATTGGAAAGCGTCCCTTTGTTGGGAGGTCTGGGTTATTTTGTTATGGAAAACCAATGGCCCTTTTATAGAAATCCTAATTAAGAAAAGGAAGGGCATTGTGGGTTATTTCTGTGGTATTCATTTAAGAGGTTGAGAGTTGATTTGTTTTGATTTTCCTATGGCAAATTAAAATGATGATTCCGAAAACTAAGCACTTAATTTCAAATTCTTGGTTATGCTTTACTTTGCTTTATTTTTAAAATACAGGGAATTTGAAATTGACTCTGCCTTCTGACATTTGTTTGTTTCCACAGCTGATATTATGTACAAGGGCACAATTGATTGTTGGAAGAAGATAGCTAAAGATGAAGGTTCGAAAGCGTTCTTCAAAGGTGCCTGGTCGAATGTGTTGAGAGGCATGGGCGGAGCTTTTGTATTAGTACTTTATGATGAAATCAAGAAGTATGTCTAAAACATAACATCATAATTAGTTCAATTGTTCTCAATCAACTTTTTTAAAACTTGTTGTGATGTAATGGACAACAAAATATTTCCTAGGGAAACTGAGAATGAAAGTTATGAATAGGATATCTGTTTGAGATGAGGAGGCATTTATTTAAAATTTGTTCACTACAGCACAGTGCATTTTGTATGAAATTTCTCTAACATTTGTATTGGAACCTGTATATATATTTAATACCCCTCCAAATTCTGGGTAATGCATTTTGTCTATGCACAAGACCTAGGTGGTCTACACCTAGATTAAAATCTAATAATGTGAACTCTTAATGAGATCTTCAGAAATACCTAGTTTACTTAGCAATGTCTCTAGCTACCCAACAGCACTATGACATGGATTAAAATGACTTCTTCTAAAGATGTATTTTTGATCTGATATATTTAATATAAAGCATTTCTGGAAATACAAGCTATATTAAAACACTAGGCTGTGAGTTTATAACTGCAGCTTCTTCACTGACAAGTTATGGTGGTCAAGACCATAATGATGTTTTTAAAACATACTTTGTAGAAGGTGGAAATACTGTGTCAAAACTGCCCTATATCTTCACAAAGCAAAAAGTTGTTTGCTCTGATGTTCAATTGAACTAAAACTGCAATCATGAAATAAATTAATATATTCATGAACTTTTCCTGTTGTTTTCAGTATACTGAACACATTGCAACCATGATCTTTAAGGTGATGTGCTAATCAGCACACTAATGACTGCTTGGTACTGGCCAGCTTTCTTGGAAGTTTTCCTGTGGAGCTTTAAGTAGAGAGAATGGTTATTGGGACTTCTAATAGCAAACCCAAGCAAGTTGAGCTTGAGGATGCTGCAGCCAGGTGTCATGTAGACTAAACTACCAGCTGGTTTTAGCTGCTTTCATACTTTAAGACAGGGCAATGTAGATGAATTGTTCTTGGCTCACAGTGAAGTCATTTTTTTTTTAACTTGAAAAAGTGTTCTATAATGGAGGGCTTCCAAATTATTTCAGTAATAGTGTAGTTAGGGATATAGTTAACAACTTGAGTTATTAATTACCAGGGAGATTGGAACATGCCCATACAGAGTTTTTAAACTTCAGATGCTGGATTGTTGTGAATCCAACGCAGAGCAGGCTCTCTAATTGGGCAAAGGAAGGCAAGTGAGTTGTTCAGTGATTCAGTTAACATGTTTATATGTAGTCTATGTATCCACCTGAGAAAAGCAGGAAGACTTAACACTTGCATAGTCTTCAGTTAAATAGTTTATTTCAGCTACATTTTTTATTTCATATGCAGAAGTGAGGTGTTTTTTTGACAAGGTTCTGGAGCATCTATCACAGTACCCTAGGGGAGGGAAAAAAAGGTGGAAACAATGTTGGAATCACACTAGAGGTAGTGGAAGGTAAAAGGCTATGCAGTTACTAATAGAATTGATGACCGAGCAGTACTTTTCTAGTGAAGGGGTTATCACAGCACGAAGCAGGAGGTTCCTGCAGGTACCATAACTGCTGTAAGCTGCCTTTCCTTGACATCTTATCTCCCAGCATTGCTTGTGTGTGTGAAAGCTGGAGCAATTCAATATGCAAAAGCAACAGGATGCAAAGAATGTTATCCCTTACTATGGTGGTTGTAGCTTCAGACCAGCACCTCCCCTCCACCTGAAAGCGGGAATGAGATACTAAATATTATATGGAGGTAACATCTATGCACCTGAAGAATAGAAGCAATGGGTCGAACAATTATAGATAAGTTTTGATTTTTGAATTACCTGAATAGGTAGCAATCACTTTTGATTGCTCAGACAAAGGAAGTGCACATACTAGATGAGGTCTGATGTATTTCAACTTCTTTGTTTAAATCAGTTCTTGACAAAGGGAGACAGCTTCTACCTTGAACTTTTAGGCTCATTCTGTTTTTTTTTTTTTCCTTTTTTTTCTCTTCCTATGAGCAACAGTGCCTCTTTGTATCTGGTTTAGCCCTTTCTTCTCCCTTCCCTAACAGTCAATATCTAAACACTTAGATAGGTGGTGTGTTTTCTTCCTAGTAGCAAATGATGAGGTTGCAACCTATTGAACCACATGACTGTGAAGAAAATCCAGGTGCTTACTGCACTAGTCTTAGGAACCTTTACTTGCTTGCTTCTACCCTTTCTCTTCCTTTTCTCCTTCCTCCACACATTCCTAATGGTTTCTTATGAGAAATCCTTAAAACACACTGTAACCATTCATTTCTCATTTACCTCACTGACAATGTTGCTTATGGCCTTTGATGTTTTAGAGAAGATCCTAGTTGGCTACAACAATACCAAAGACAATGTCAAACTGTAATATAAAAAAGGTACCAAATTTGGGGGGCAATTTTATGTGTGAATGAGTAATGAAAGAACTAAGAGGAAGCAAAAGAAATTTAAGATGGGTGTAAATGAAATAATAAATATTCTTGAATATTCCAGAAAAAATAAAATGGCATAAACAAAGGAAAAGTGAAAGCTATTAAAAAGGAAAAGTGAGGAACACTGAGACAGGAAAATTGCACTGGGGAAGAGACAGTAGGTAAAATAATACATTATGAAAACACAGGCAAGAAGCTCCTTATTTCTGCTTACATGCTTATACATATATACAGCCTGTGGCAAATTCCAGGCAGTACTTTCCACTAGGATACTTGGTGTATGAGTTCAAAACTGTCAATTAAATAGCCATTCCCCCAAAAGCAGCACTGATATATGTGCATAACACTTGCTCGAAGTGTAAACTAAATATCCAGCTTTGTACAGCTGGCAAGTTGTTGATTTTGCAGAGTCTTTTTACTACTACAGTCAAATGAGCCTGGGCCACAGACAATACCCCTGCCTTGATCCATTTGCACCTCACAGACAGGTACACTGTAAAGTCAACATCAAAATCACTATTCCCTTGTATTTCACACTTGAACAGAGGGAAGCCTGTCCTGAATAGCCTGCTAATATATTCTAGTAACACAGGAAGACAAAGCCCATCTAACATATACAGTACTCCTCGGTCCAGAAAGCATGCTACCTGGGGACAGAACTGAGACACACATCTTTTGGATGAGAACAAGGTAGGACCTTCAGGCTGGCTCTGAAGGATAAACATCTCTAAAGAGCACTGAGAGCGGAACTGCAGAGAGTGAAGGGAAGAATTTATGACCACAGATAGACTCTTCCCTACGTTTTTGAAGGTGAAGACCTCTACTCTCTGCCCTATACTTGTTAGGGAAGGAGCAGCCCTCGGTTCTTAAAAACAAACAACAAGAAGAGCTTAAGACATACTGTGGGGCATAGCAGAAGGAAAAAAACAAACACATACAACTTGCAAAGTAATTCAAAAACCAGAAAATCACGTGCTGGGATGCCAGTTACTCTTACTATGATAATCTCAGAGAGCTCCATTAACCAACCTAGGGTACAAGGGAAAGGAGCATCAAAGCTCATGCCCCAGGTAGCAATTCTCAGCCCTGTGTTCCCTTTCTGACCCTTTAAACAAGAAAACTCTCAATAACACATTCTAATTTTAAGAGACACTGTGGGGAGAACTGAGACTTTTCTTTTGTCTCAAGCTCTTACCACATAACACAGTGGAGAGAACAACAATTTTCCATATATCAGAGCTTGCAACAATAATAATGAAGAACAGCATTTTGGGTGAATAACACAAGTGATCCTGGAATCAGAAATGACACAGCTGCAAGGATCACTGCTGGCAAATGCTGCCTCATTTTGGCCAGGTGGAAAGTTACCAGAAGGTATTAGAGAAGCTTACCTGACCAAGGCATTAGAACCAGGTATCCAGAAGACAAACCAGAACCGCATCACAAACATCAGCACCCTTGTTGGTATAACAAAACATGAAGCTGGCCTCAGTCTCAGTCCTGGAAGACAGCTCTGGACTTTTCCTTCACCAGGTATAAATGACATGCTACATCTAGTGTTTTGCTCAAGACTTAGAGCAGGCAGACACCACAGACTGAGCATCAGGTGCAGCATACCAGATCCATAAAATAACCCATTTCCCTGCATAAGAATGATAAGAAAATAAACTATTTCCCTTTTTACCCCTCTGGCTTGCTGATATACCACAGTGGAAATATCAGTCATCACCTACATAAAATGCAGCTGCTAGAAAGGCTGGTAAGTGACTTCACTGCCTTGATCTCTACCACACTGATGTGCAGACTAGGCTCCAGAGAAAAGCAGCAGCTCTCATCTGCCAGATGACTGAATGAGCTGCCCAGATTGGGCAGGCAGAAGGCTATTTTTGTCTACTGACCGGTGAGAACAAGAAGAAAATCAGATGAAAGTGTTATCAGTGATCTGTTAGAAGAAGTGTCAAGGCTTTTTACAGGGGTTTATCCTGAAACTCGTTAGTTGACAATCAGGAAAACTCAGTCCACTGCTAAGTCTGCGTATGCCATAGAAGATGACATAAAAAGGTAGCTAGCCATTTGATTTGGGACAGTGAGACGAATGCTCATCTGAGTGAGGGGATAACAGCAGAGATACCTCAGGTTCTTCAGCAAAGCATGCAAAGTCTACTAGAAGACAGGCTGTGGCACAGAGGAAAGCCTGTAAACTCTGTATGAGGAATGGCCTTGTGTGATTCTACCAGTTTAGCTCAAATCTCTTGGATTCACTGGAATTAAAATAGAATTCTGAAAGGTTCAATAGTCTGTTTGGTAAAACACCTTTCCTATTTCAGCTATCCAAGCACAAACACATCATCGCTTCCCGTCCTTATAGTCATTGATCTCAGCTAGGACCTTCATTAAAACCTTCATTGCTGCAGAAGGGCTACAAAGCAAGACCCAATTCCTGGAAGAAAGGCAACCCAAAATGAAGCATGGATGCTTCCAGAACAGAAACATGAGAGGCATCACAGTCCATTTCTCACTGCGGTGAAATCAATGCTCCAGTGTTGTCACTCAAACTGGCAATCTTGTCACTTTAGCAAGGAAACTAGTTCCCATCTGAAACTATGTCAGCTCAGTGTGGTGACTTGCTTTATGTAGGAAGAGCTTGCACTTTTTGGTTGAAGAGATCTTCTGGAGGGGAAAAAGAGGCAGAAGAGAACATAAAAGTGACAGGCTACAGGAAAAAAACAAACATAGAAATAAGTCTAACAGAAGTAGAATTGGTTGTCATAAAAATCTTGATGAAGTTATCTAATTTAATGAAGACTGTCAATATGGCTTATTTAAAGCAAAAAAAAAAAAAAGAACAAAAAAAAAAGCACTGCACCAGTCACTAACAAGTAAAACATATCCAAGCAATTCTTTGCATTTTCCCTGACTACAGGTAGTATGAAGCATTTCTCCAATGACATCCTTTGCAATTTAGTATCACATGTCAAATTCCTTAGGAAGTCACTGCATTGACAAACAGTTCATGTTAAATATTTTATTTCTTATAGTTTACAAAAATGACATACAAAATTGACAGTATTTCATACCAAAGTTAAATAAAATAAGAAGCAGCGATTAGAAGTAATCTGTTTTGTGAATTCTTTTACAGAAGAGAATTATTATATGAACATTCAGAAGTATTTAAACTGTTATTCACATTCAAGGACAAAAATCTTTAAATAGTGAATAATTTTAATTAGCACAAGAGTACAAATAAATACAGCAGCACTATGCAAAAAAATGCCTTACAGTCCCTATCAATGAATAATAATGGTAATAAAATCTGTTTGCCACAATGCTGCTTAAAATTAAAGCTTCATATATTGTCAAACAGCTAAATTTGATCTGCAGATCACCAGGTGCAGAAGCTCTGCCAAACTGTCATACAGGACCAAGCGAAAAGCCTATTACAATGCAGAATACCTGAAAGCTGAAGCCCTCATGCAAGCATGAGCAAAGAATGATAAATTTTCTTTTTTCTTTGTAAGGCCAAGACCTGGCATTATTGAATACAGCTTTTTTCCTTATACATAACACAAAGAGATTTCCTGCATCTCTCCTGGGAAGAAGCTGGGTAAGCAAGCAGGGTTCCAACAATATCCATGGACACTGGCATCATAATTTATGCTCTTTATAAGACTACAGTCCTACAAAATAAGCTCACTAAAAGTTTGCCTTCATGTATAGAAATAAAGCCTATCATGTACTATTTGCCAACAGCATTAAACTTTGTTCCCCTTATAAATGGATGTTTGATAAGGAAGCCTGACACTACTACAAATATTTGATATGAACATAACATTAAAAATAGGTTAAGAAGCATAAGATTTTATTTCTGTTTTCAACACTTTTTTTTTTTCAAATAGTGATTAATAGTTGTTTTCAAAAATAGATGTTGAAGCTTCCTGCAGCTCAAGCTTTTATCTCCCCACTGAGAAGGGTCTGCAAAAGAAGGACCATGAAATACTTCCTTTGCTTACTGTTCTCTAGCTTGAGAAGTATTTAAAACTTACTCTTAGATTCAATCTGAAACTGTTTTTAATTTCAAGCATCAGTCTCTGTTACCCAGTGGTGTTCAAACACCATCAGATGCTTCTTTCCTACGCAAAGGTCCCAATACAACTTCTAAAATTCTCTGGAAGAGACACGTTGTTGAGTACAAAACAAATGCTCATCACCTGGGGTGATCTGCAACCATGGGAAAGTAACACCTTCTGCAGCCTCGGTATTCTAATTAACCATGCAGGAATATACAATCCACTTTTCATCCTGCAATGCTGCTGTAAAAGGAAGATTCTTTCAGTCGTATGAACATGACCTAAAAGTTCAGAAGACTTACCTAAAGCCAGGATGAAAAGCCACAATTTAGGAATTAAGTCCTATCGTGCAGCAATTCTGTCCTTCCACGTCATGGATACAAATTCCACTTATAATTGGACAATAAAATAATAATTAATGATTTCTATTCTGTTTAAATACCTCTTTCTCTTTCATAAATACTTCCTCTCACAGGAAACACTGACTGAAGTGAAAGTGTTTGCATAAAAACAATTTTATATGCAATTATATCATATACAATGCATTTTTAATCACTAAACAATGCAGAGGATATTTTTGCACATAGAATTTACAAAAGCACTAAAAATAGTAATCCGAGGAACATCTCAGAACGTGAGGCATAGCACACACTTATAACCAAGCAGCACGAACATTAGTGGGCTTAGGTCTCTGTAATGCCCCACCAGATGGATCAGAAGTGGTTTTTTCAGTCTTCTGGCTCATTGTACTTGGTACAGTGGATGCTCTTGAAGTGCCTCCTGTTAACACACACAGGGGGAAAAAAAAAAGAGTAAGAATGCTTATGCTGGGTATATCAGAAAACTTCATGGTATATTATTACTGTTAAAATCATTACCACAGTTTCCAGAAAAACAAAACAATCACTAAGTTCAATCCAAAACCAACATTATGAGTTGTTTGCAAATAGTCAGAACAAAAAATTAAAGTACATGCCATAGCGCAGTGGTTCTTTAACCTGACACAGTGATGGATCCATGAGGATACATGACCTACTTCCAAATACACATAATTTCTAAGAGAAACTTACCTACTATCAGTAGATATTTTTTAAGTGAGAATTTGAGCTTTTTTTTTTTTTTGCTTTGTCCTTTCAATAAAAAGCACTAGCAACCTGAAATTTATTTATTATTATTACTATTTTTTACAACAGTGATTTTTTCACCTTTTTGGTAAAGACTATTAGCAAAATAATTTATTAGAAATTTAGAATGGTAGGTTAACAATTCATTCACCATATTTTTGGTATAATTAACAGTAACAATTTAATCATCTCTGCATTAGAAAAACTTTTTTGCTTTTCTTAATAATAAATGCCTTGTAATTCTGAATTATGGATGAAACACCTGTAAAGAAATGCTAGAATCTGCAACTTCAGAGTACTTACTAGAAGGGCTAAGCTGGCTGAAAGGAGACTTTCCTCTTTTTACAGATGGTGAAGAACTTAGATAGCTCATCTGGCGCTGATAGTCCATCAATTGTTCAGAACGTCTCATACCAGCTGTTGGTTTCACTGCTTCCAATCTCTTCAGAAAAGCCTTAACATCAAAGAAGAGCATCATCAAGAAAAAGAACAAACAAGCAGCTACAAAAACATTCAGAGACTGATATTTCTATTTTAACTGAAAAAAAATCAACCCAACAATTTTTAGAATTTCTCAAGACAATTAACTCCACTGGTGACACACTATTCTGCTCACGTTCAATACTTTTCTCATTGTAATAAAAGACAGAATTGAGTACATCTTTGGTACCCCATAGTACACTGCACATCATGATAACTCGAAATGACATCTGTTTGGTGAAGGTGGCAGATGACAAGATGAGCTCTTCTATTCCTACTGCGTTTAACTCTAGAAGAAGAGATGGGTAAGTTTTGGGGAAGATGAGAGGTTTGTTTTATTTTCATTTTTTGCTTTGCAAACATATTTAGAACAGTTCCCCAGAGAGAACTATTGACCTCAGTTCTGTGAAAGTAATTGTAAGAAGAAAAGCACAATTACAAATTTATTTTGGATTTTATGTACATCTTTTATCCATAATGTACTTTTACAAGGTTATAGTTGAAATTGTCACAGACATCATTTCCACTTGTTGAGATTAACCCTGGCACTCATGCAGCAAACATCATATCAGAACAGTTACTTACATAGTATTTATGAGATACAGTTTCTCATACCTCCTAACTACTTACTCTTGAAACAGGATGCACTGATTTAAGAATTTTCCATAATTTTTCTAAAGAAAATAACTTTGTGGTGGCAAAAAAATCAGAAGAACTCTGCTACATACAGCTTCCAGTCAACCACCTGACATCTGTAATACATCTAGCCTCCAGTGCTTGCTTTTCACAGATCTATACATTCCCTCCGCTAGCTTAATTTGAAGTGATAGCCTGCAAACATTTGGCAGGGACACAACCATCATCAGGGTTACAACATGCATCTTATTAATGAGAGACAATGCAAACTGCAATTACACAAATCTCCAAAGTAATAAAAATACCTCTACTTATTAAGAACGTATTATTTAGATGCATACTAAAGTGGTAGACATCAAGAACCTGCCTAACCATTAAACTGCACTTTGCATGAAATGATTTTTTTCCCCCTCTTCATCTGCCCGCAGGTCCTGTTTAGGTTCTTTTCTGATGATGGGTTCTTTTTTTGTCTGCTTTTGTTTGTTTGCTTTAGAAGAACAAAAAAAAGACACAGAAAATCATTTGGTAAATGGTATAGCATTCACAATATGTCAGTTGTCTTCATCTAACTGTAATAGGAATCTGCAAGCTCTTGGTAGTTTATGCATGGGGACTGGAAACCTGCAGTGCGCGCGAGAGAAAGGACAAGCCATTTTGGCTCGGACGTAATATGTCACAAGTGCTTGCATCGAGTGCCAGCCAGTTCACAGTCAAGTGGAAATACCTAAGTAAGCAAAAGTCAAAGGAAGAACTTCAGCTAGAAATAGCTCTTCACTGAAGCCAGTTACAGAACACAAAATGGTAGACTTGTCTCTAAATGTTACATCCCACATTTTGCACACAAGTTATCACCATCTAGCATACCAACATGCATATAGACTTGCAAAGATTACTTGTTTATTTTGTGTTAAAAATTGAAGCTCTCAAAGTGTTCAGCTCATTCACAAATAGGTAAACTGAATTGTAGAAGCAACATCCTTTTTCCTGTGAAGGTCAAGCATGTTTCAAGTCCGTACTCCAACTGTAACAGACTCAGAATTCGCATACCTTGATACTGCAGTAATTTCAAGCTCAGTTCTCAACACATACATTTGCATATGCCTGTTTAACCCCAGTTTAAATACAATTTCCTGCTTTTACTTTTATGCCTGTATTTCGACAAGCATTCAGTCCTGATTACTAAAGCAAGAAGCAGACCACTCTCAGCACTAAAACATTACCTTCTGAACAGGTTGGAACTGGACTTCACACAATCCTTAGACATGAAAAGAGCAGATATAGGTTACGTGGTGCTTAAGTGGTTCCCTCCCTGTTCTAAGAAAAAGTTTTGTAGAGAACTAGAGAACAGCTCCTGCGGTACCCCTACCCTCTGCTGAGTACTGTACCGATGGCATGTTAATTTAAACACTATTTGTGGTTATAATTTTCGTAGCTTGGAGAAGGTTGAAGAAGGGCCTGCTGCATAGAGCAATGAACTCATCGACACACTGACACGGCAGCCCTGACCTACAAGATCCATAAACCAGAACTAATCCAATCCCTGTATTTTTACTAGCAAGCCTTGTGGTCTTTAACCAAGGAATTGCTTTGCATGAGTACCTTGAACAAATAAGATTCGTTTTCAATTACCCATTTAAATCTGCTAATTCCTTTATTATGTTCTCGTTAAAACAGCATTTTGAGAAATGGATTGCAGAACACTGCCACTTGCCTTGTTCTGAAGCGCTAAATCTCTGTAGCCTTAATCCTGCACCACGAAAGTAATAGAAATTTTGTCACTGACCTTAATAAGCAAAGAATCAAATCACATGACATAATCCAGGTGTTTTGAAACAAAGACATGTTCCTGATCAGATTTAAGAAGAAAAATGACTAACAGGCACATACATTGCAGGGATGCCATCAGCTGCTCTTAATGACATTGCAGCTGCTCAGAGCTCCTAATTCAAGCTCAACAAGATTAGGTTAGCATTCAGCAAGTCAATGATTTTCACTACTATACTCCCCATTCCCATGCAAGATGATATATCATTAATTTCTAGCTTGGCCAAAAGCCTCCCAAAGCTTCTATTTCCCTCCATCATCTTCTCTTACTACGATACTGAGTTTACAATAAAAGTAGAGTAACAATTTAAAAAAGGTACAATCCCATAAATCATTCCTGCAAGATTATCTTCCAGGAACAGGATAATTCTTTGTAAATCTAGGCATCTGGAGACAGACTAGTATCCAGTAAAGACACTAAAACACATATTGTCAGTGACAGAAGGAAATGTCACATTGCCAACAATTGGGGAACAAAGGAACCTGACACTATGCTAAAAGATAGCTGCTATATGGTAGGCTAAGATAAATGCTCTTAGTTCAGCTCTGGGCAGCAGAACACTAGATCTAATTCTAATGCTGTCAGGAAAAGAAAAAAGAAAAAGGAAAGAAACTCAGCATATACTTTTCTACAGCTATTTTGAAGAGATAAAATACTGAAAACACAGCACTCCCAAACTGAGTCCAGAGAAAAGGTAAAATATGCCACTTCTTCTTGTTTTACTTTACTTTTTAAATGTGTGAAGGCTTCGGTTTCACCTCCTTTGAATTCTGACCAGCTGACCAGTGTGCCTTGACAGCTGTTCAAATTTATTTATATTATGCCTCCTCTAATGTCACTCATACTAGTGACCACACTGTCCCTTTGCAGAGCCCAGGTGGGGGAGGGTAAAGGAGATAACAGTGCATTCAGGAACAGCTTTTTGTTCTTAGCACAAGGATTTGCAATTTTCTTCAACTCTTCAGTTGCATTAATCAGCTCTCACTTCACAAGCTCTACACATCATCATCCATCGAGTACTTTTAAGAGAGAAACCTCTTAAAGTTCTTCAATCGAGAGAAAAGTCTTAAACCGAACAACTGGCACACTTGCCTGCGGTTGGCATCCACACAAAGATAGTCTTGAGTACAAAAAAGGAAAAACCACAAAATTGAGTAGCATGCTAAATAACCAAAAACCTTCCTTCAACCTGGCAATTAGTCAGTCTTTATTATAACTATCACAGCAGCGGTCAGGAATCAGCAGACCGTAACAGTTTTGCTCACAAAAAGCCTACAGCTTTAGTGCTAGGATTGCAGATTTGCACTACACGTGCACCGTCTTTTCCACTAAACTTCAAGTGTGAGCTTCAAAGGTCACTTGTCCCCCATGAACCTGGGCTGAACACAGCAGCTGAGCTCACTTTGGTCATCTCACACACCTACATCCTAGTCAGACGATTAATAAAGCAAACAAAACACCCAAAAAAACCCAACCATTAGACTTTAATTACTTGTAAGTTTAGGTGAATTGATGGAGAAATGGTGCAGTGGCTGCATATCTGTATTTAAAGGCCTCCAAACACCCACCTTTATATAGCAGTATACAGATTTTGCATCACACGATAAACCATTAAAGTTCAAATTACGCATAGTTCCCTGTGAAGCTCAGTATTTTATTTATACTGGCTGAAATCGTGATTATCGTCTCTATATGGACACGTGTGTCGTGTGTAGTAGGTTCCTCCCCACGGGAGAGCAGACAGGGCTGGGAATACCTCCAGGCACGGCAGTAGGATGTTTCCTCAGTCAGCAGCGTCCTCTACTGGCAAGAGCCGCACTCTGGTCTTGCCAGCTCAAATAAGCGACCAAAAGCAGGGTTCTGCTTATGAAAGGAAACGGGCACAAGCAGCAAGTACAAAACTGTGATATTCATTTTAACAGATGTCTTTTGCTAACTGTGTTTTCCCATAAATAGCTAAATCGTTGACTTAGAATTCCTGTTTTTCAGAGCAACGCGTCTTTTTTCCTTTGTAGCTCTTTCCAGCAGTCTGCGGGAGCAACTTACGTTCCCTGTATCTCCTTGACCCGCTCTCACAAAGCTGGAGAGCAAAAGTGCTTTGATTTCTCTGTGATTTCCTTATAATAATAATATTTGAATTGCTTTCCCTGCATCAGCCTCGATGCCAGATGCCTGCACCAGAGACCAAGCTGCCTTTCTGCTAACAGTAAATAAAGGCATCACTCCACGGGCATTCTAGTGGAACAAGGGAGTTTTGCCTAGACAAGGTATTAACGTCAGAAAAGAAGTTATAAAAGTCGTTATCCAACAAAGGGGATAAAATAAATTGTATGTTACAACTGCACTGCTCCAGGTGCACATGTAATTTAATCTTTTTTTTTGTGTGTGTGTGTGTTTAAACAGAATTGCTCAAATGTGAAAGTAGTCTTAAGTGAAATGTTAAGCATACTAGTGAATCACTCTTCAAAAAAGAAAATGCATCATCCTCAGGTTGGTGGAATGAATAGACCAAGTGTTTTTATTGTTTAAAATAGCGTGACATTTTAACCTAAATTCTAAGGAATTACTTTGAAGCTAAACATTTGCACTCATGTCCCTGCAGTACATGATTCACAACAAAAGCATAAATGATTAAGTAACCAAAGGATATTATTTCTTGGACTACAAGCAACCACCACTGATCTTGCTAGTTTGGTATGCTATGGATGTGAAATGACTAGCAGTATTTACCTGTGCTGAATTTTTGATCCAGAACTTGTAAAGGCAAGACATTCTTGGATAAAATGTTACAATATTTCAAAACAAAGTAAGTGCGTGGCTTTGAGTAAAGAGAAGTGTATTATAAAATATTATGTACTTTAATATCAAAGCAACCATCGAATCAATATTGCATATTACTTCCAGGTAGTATGTGGCTGATGCAGCACTTCTCCACAGCCTAAGAATCCACTCTGATGATCAGGGTGCATTAAGAAGAGCAAGTCCCGCTTCCAGCACTTTCAACAAAGAACAACCATCTACAATGTATGAGGAAAGCCCTTCTACCACCTCAAAACCACTGAAGCCGAAAAACATATCCTCCCCTCCCCACAATGAGAAATATCATGTATCTATAAAACACATTTGTGCCAAATTCCTTCAGTGTGTGAAGTTCTTTTGGTCACTTGTAATCTATGGTTTCCCACTTTGAAATTTTTAACTACCCAGATGTCTATGATGGAAAAACTAAAATGTAACGGATTTTTCTGAAGAGGACAATTAGGCTTCATCTATGTTGAAATCTTTACCTATTCATATAAAAGGAAATTGCAACCTAGTAAAAGAAAAAGAGCAAGGACCACTTGCTCTTTTATAGTGCTTCCACTATAAATTTTCCTTACCTTTTTTAGTGAAAAGGTTTTTTTTTTTTTAAATTGTTTTCTTTAGCTACATTTCATCTCCTTTTTGAAGGCATTAATGAACAACTAGATGATATGAAAATGTCATTACCTGTAATACAATGCAATCACTTAAAATCTTATTAAAACCAGTATTATTTGTCAGCTCTGCTAATATCCTTATAAATTAGTTTGAATTTCTGGTTTTCAGTAAAATAAGTTATTGTGATTGCCACGTACATTCAAATAATGTGAAAAGCAGAGAGCTAAAAATTTTAAAAATGATGGATAGCTATACATTTTTTAGAAACCAGAATTGAAATTCACATGGTATCCTCCCTGTTTCAAATATAATGGGTTTGATGCTATCATATTGATTGCTTTATTTTTTGCAAGCCTCTTCTTGACTAGTAATCATGACGCATGGAGTAGGATGAATAGAATTACACTGCTATCCAAAATTATGAGTGCGTAAACAAAAATTCCCCTTAAATTGAATTACATTCAAGTAGAGCAAGCTCAAATAAAGAAAAACCTATTTTTCAATCTGGAAAAAAAGCATCTGAACCATTACGTAAACAGCATGGTAATGAGAATACACTGCAGACTGACTGCAGTAAAGCTAGGAGTGCTGCCTGATCAGTTTTGTAACTATTTAGCAATGATATATCTGACAATAAACAGTCCTCAGTTTACCAATCCAAAGCAGTTCTTAGAACTCACCAGGTTTTCTCTTTCAATCCTTTGCTGCTCCTTTTGCCTGTTGAGGGCGCTGTGGTACAATTTAGGAGGTGGCAGAGTCGACTTTTTCAGGGTGGTACTTCTGCTCCTTGGTTTTGCAGACTGTCTGGACAGTTCTTTTAACAGCCTTTGGTTTTCCCGATCGATTTGTCTAACTTCTTCATTCGTGAAAGAATAATTTTTCCTTGTTCCTCTAGGTGGCTGATCAAAGGTTATTTTTTGTTGTTCCTTCTTCTCCAACTGTAGAAAAGCTTCAAAATGGCAAAAAAGTAAAATAGACTTAAGAAACAAACAAACTTGCGTTCTGTTATTAGGATTTATTTACAGGCCTGAAAAACCCTGGCACATTTTCCCTCCTTCCATTTGAATTCCACCTTTATGCATTTCAGGATTTTTCAGGGATGCTCTGTTGTCATCAATACATTACTTTTACACAAGTTTCACCACAAAAAAAATCAAGTCTAATTTTGGCTTTAAAATTGAACTACTTTCTTTTCACTAGCAACCCCCTTCTCCGCATGTAGAGCAAGTAATTCAGAGGAATTGAATGGATACAAAGAGCAACTGAACTTGCTGCAAGAACAACAGAAGTATACACACATTCTGTATTTGTGATAAATATATTTGTTATTTAGGAATAAATGTAAATTAGCTTAAATGTGCATTGTCCTTTTTTTCTATACGGTCAGTGCTCCTGATATCCTTTCACTTCGATCACCCCGACCTCTACCATCACCAGTATGCCTGCACGATTTCTGCATTGACACAATATGCAGAAACTTCCATCCTAAAATATTTGTTGTAGTTACTATGGCACCAGCAATCGGAATAGGCAATTATATATACACACAGATATATATGTTAATGGTGCTGCTATTACACAGCACCGCAGTAACATTGCACATAATCATCCTAACAGTGGAATCAGCTGTGGTACCAACACAAACATAAGTTTTCTAGTCAATAGCAAACACAGCTTCAGAAAGCCAGGACTAGAAATAACTCACAGATCTAAGAATTATACCATAAATTAATATTCAGATGTTTGCACATGGAAAGCGATTTACACTTTGTTCCAAAGATATTTTAAATATCTGTCTCAGATGAGGAGCAGAACAGAAATGGTATTTAAGATAGAAAACTGACATTGGGGAAGCAAGACTCAGAGGCACAAAATGCATTTCCTGAAGTGATTTTGTTGATCCTTTGCTCCTGAAGTGATGCTACATCACGCTGGTGCAGGAATTGCAAAGAGAAAGATGAAAATTAAGTTTAATGGATGGAGAGAAATAAATGTAGCAGAAGAAGAAATAATTAGGATATGGCAATTTAAAAACAGGCATTAACCCAGTACATGGGGTTTCAAGACAAAAAGCAAAGAATGCATACCTAAAAACACACAGCCAAACAGACTTGTGCATTCACAAGACGAAGTAACAACTGGCAAGCTTCATTCTCAGCCAGAGGTAGTTATGTTTAATCATGGTTTCACCAAAGCTTAGCTATTGACCTTTTCCTAAGCCTTCCTTGAACCACGCCCCACACCACTCCAGTGCCTCCAGAAGATTTCCCTCACTCTTACCCCTAAAAGCCCAGCACATGCAAAGCAGAAGCTCTGAGCAAAGCAGAAAGAAGAAAACAGACACATGACAATATTTCCTCAGGAAACACTTCCATGTCAGCAATTTTGGGGTGAAGGGACTTTGAGTCAGCCATTAATAGCTTAAAGCCTCAGAAAATGATGAGCACGTTCTTACTTTGGAAGAAAACTGAAAAAAAAGTTATTGCAGTATCTCAACTGATTTCAGTGCAGAACTGATGCAGCAAATATTTATTATTATTTATTGCATTTTATTTAAAAGAGTTAGAAGCAGTATCTAGAAATCAAAATCCAAGTAGTTCGTTTTAGAATCTCTCTGGAAGTTAGTAACTTTGCCCGTCAGTATGCTAGCTGGTATATGCAGGAACTACCCCCAGGGCACTGTAACTGCAAGGTCGTTTACATAAGCAAATACCATCTTATTAGTCAAGAGAAGGTGCAAATCACCTCAAATCCAAGACAATGCAAAATAGCACAGATCAAGTGTGCCAACCAACAGATTAAGGAAGTATAAGTGTCTTGATAAAAATCTTTACAATTTAGTAAGTTATTCAAAGGAAAATTAGTTTAGCTATCAAATCCGTTTGGGGAGACAAACCTGGGGTAAGACTCATATCCAGATAAACCTACAAGAGACAAGAAGAAATGCACAGAAAATAACTAGCACCACACAATTCACAGAGTAACATCAAGCAGTGGTACACTTCTCAGTGTAAAAAAAATACATATCCTTATGGGAACACACAAAACTAGCACTGCAATACACAGTTGGTAGAAAGTGACTTGTACAACCACCTGAAGAAGGCATTTCTTACATATCATGCATAGCCAAGTTACATAATTTATAACTTTATTACAAAGCTATAAAATCACAATGTCATCTTTTGCCTTACATCCATTGCATTTCATAGATTGAACAGTTGTTCAACTGTTGTCTTGACCCCGCTTTTTGCCCCCATGTTATTGGGGATGCAGTCTCATACACAAGACATTTCAGTTTCTAAATAGCTCTCTGTGCAAATTCCAAATTCTGTGAAAGGTGTGAACTAGTCAAACTCCATTTAAAGTAATGGCATTTTGAATTAGGACATTTAGAAATACTGGTTTCAAGTGTTCACCAGTAAATGATTGCTTAAATTCTCCAAAAGGCAACTAGCTATACTTTGGTGGAGAGTGCACACTCCAAATAAACAGGTATGAACTACACACGTTATTTACATTTACTTAGTGTAGAAACTAACCTCACTGCTGCCAACAGCTTTCTGACTAGACCTGAGGTTAAATGCTCGCTAACAATGACAGAATCAAATAAACCACAAATTAAAAAAAAAAAACACCACACATTAAAGGAAAAGTATTAAGGCCACAACAACTCTGCTGCAAAGTTACTTAGCGAAGCCTGAGCAGACGACTGCCCAAACCCAATCTCTGCAATACAGCAACTTAGCAAGAGTTTAGAAGACTCACAAATTTTGCACCGAATTTCAGACCGGATACAGTAAGTGCAGCAGCAAGTTTTCCTCAAGAGGCTAGGGAGAAAGGATTACTCTTAAAGTTTAGTTCCTCACTGCTTGTTTCAGTTCCTCAACAGATCTTTTTATAGCTAACCTTCTGCATGGCCTAAGGAAGAACTGCCTTAGAAATTTCACAGGCAGCTCTCTGCAGCAAGAGTGCTGCAATTCACCAGGTCATTGAATCGGACAACACACTAAGAGTTGTTGTTCTGTTGTTCTTTGAGCTGCAGAATTAACAAATCAGAATTGTGTTTTACTGAGTTAAGCTCTGTTAACAAAGAATTTAAGCCTCGAATACCACTTCAAAACAACCGCTAACTGATGGAAGCTCATCTGTATCCTTTTCTAAATCACAGCAACTGCAACACTGTTCTCCTCAGGAACCCTGTGACAGGAGAGTTTAAGTTTATTAAAAAAATAATAATAGTAAAAAAGAAGATTAGCAACAGAATGCATACTGCATAACTTCCTGAAAGACAATCACAAATATAGAGCAAGTGCTTCTGCCTAACAAAACAAGGAGAATGCAAAGGACATTCATAAAATCCCTGATCCTTAAACTACGGTCAATCAGCCACAGGAGCAATCGAACAAAGCTGCAAACTAAAGTTTCTGCAAGTTTTCCTGAAGCAGTGGTGACGTTATTTCTGTGGTCAGAGTCACAAACTATCACTTTTGGCAGAAGTGCTCAACTGTGCCTGCAGTGAGGTTTCTGACCCTGTAACTCATGATCATCATCAGCTGCAATAGTTTCGTCTCAAGCCACCTGGCTGAAAACCTGACCAACCCACACTATTTTAAGACACTACTTACACTGTCAAATGTTCCTATTCCCTGCTCACCTACTATGACACAAAATTATATGATTTATATCAGGAATTGATGTCCAATATGCATTGGATGTGCTTCAATTTTCATGTCAAAGAAAGCCATGCTTTCACAGGAACAGAAGCAGAAGCATACGTGAAGCCAACAAAAGCCTACAAAAACAGGGAGAATTCACCATCAATAAACAACAACACGAGTCAAGATCCCACGTAAGAGGTAAATGCATTTATTTTAAATGCTACTAAGTATTTCAGGTACAGTTAGTGTTAACCCAAGTATCTGAGCTTTAAAAGTTATTAGAGCAATTTAGAATCATTGAACAGCTTGGGTTGGAAGGGGCCTCAAAAGATCACCAGGTGCAACCTTTTTGTTGATTTATTCAACAACATATCTATGCTGCTGTTTAATCACAACACAGAAATGTTTGAATGGTTTACCTGACTGTTTTTGCAGTGGCCAACGATAACGTGAGGCAAAACTAAAGCTTCGGGTTATGATTTAAGGTTCTGAAGCATTTGCAATTTGTACTTCTCCTCAAGTCTCGGAACAATTAAATATGATTTATGTGTATCTTCATACTCTACCAATGAGTAGTAAGTAATTTATCTAAATCCCTACTGACCACTCCATTGTTATCTGGACCGTAAACCAGTAATTTGGGGGAGAGGAGTAAACAAGTAGTAGCATTTGCATAAAGACTTGCACAGCACACAGTGCTACTTCTCATCTGCTGAAAAGCTGTAAAAGAAATTTCTCTGGTATTCATGGGATTTCTATGAAAGCTGGTTTCCATGGAGAGACACCTGACTTTCTTTGAAGCAATAAACAAGCTGTTTATTGCTTTCAATTTGTGAGCATTGAAACGACCTTGCAGATTAAAAAAGACCAAACCTTACACGAAATACAAATGATAATTAGCAAGTCAAATGCATTAGGACAGGTTAATACAGCTCTCCTAATGGCATTAAGGCTAAAATTAAAATCGTGCATCTTCCACTCTCTTGCAATCCCAGCAGGAAAATGCATTAAATTGCTTCAGTGCTTACACTTTTCAGTTTGCCTGTTGTTTTGTTTTATACTGCTCCACTACCGTATCTGTGACAAATCTGAAAGATATGAAAGGATTAAATCACAGTTCCTCAGAAACGTCTAATAGGTTCAGTCTGAATCTATTCCCCTGTAGTACTTCTGTGCAAATATTTCCTTGTCTATCCATTATTTCATGCTGCATATTTAAAAAAAAAAAGATTTTGGAGAATTCCTGGTTTGATGCTTTTTTGAAAAAAAGGAAAATATGATTTTTAAAGTAAAAACATTCTTATTTACAAATATATGCTTAAATAGGGCTGCTATTTATTCTTGATGTCATAAGAAAAAGAACAAATATACAGGTACAGACAAATTCCACAAATTATAGCCAAGAAGTTAAAGCAATTGCTACATGTTCAGTTGAAGCTGCTATTTAATTTTCTACAATAGCTTTATTCGGAAACACAGGGCTTTTACTTTCACAGTAATGATATTTACATCACAGTGCTTTTCAGCGAGTGATCTATAATTTTTTTCACAATAGAAAATCTAAGGCACAGAAGAGGCAAAATGATTCATCAGAGAGCATACAGGTCAGTGAGAGCTTCAAGGATAGAATTCAGTCTTCAGTCTGTGGCCTAATGTCCTACTTACCCTATCACACCACCTCCTCAGGTTAATAATAGCTAATACCATGGATTTACAAACTAATTCTTACGGACACTTCTGTAAAATAAGCAGGCATCAACCCCATTCTACAGAGAAGAAAACACGAAGTACTAAATCTTCCGTACTCTAAATACCTTCTGCAATCCCATTACTACTGTATTCATACCCAGTGTAAATTCAGATAAAGATACATACAGTATTTTTGCCAAACCACCCTGAATTCTAAACTCCAGAAACTGAAAGACTTGTCTAAAGCTAGAGAGTAAGTCTGCAGCATAATGAAATGAAAACGGAGGATTGCTTAATTCACAATCCATGCCTAACACATCTCTTCATCTGCGTAACAGCCTTTTGATACTTGAAGGGGTCTTATAAAAAGGATGGAGAAGGACTCTTCACTGGGGCAGACGATGATAAAACAAGGGGGAATGGTCTTAAACTAAAAGAGATTTATACTAGACACGAGGAAAAAATTTTTCACTCAGAGGGTGGTAAGGCGCTGGCACAGGCTGCCCAGAGAAGCTGTGGCTGCCCCATCCCTGGAGGTGCTCAAGGCCAGGCTGGATGGGGCTTTCGGCAGCCTGGGCTGCTGGGAGGTGTCCCTGCCCATGGCAAGGGCCTGGAACTGGTCCCTTCCAACCCAAACCCAAACCATTTAATGACTATGAAAATCTGAATTCCTTAAAATAAGGCAGGATATTGGTTCAAGACATAGAATCAAGCAAAAGAGCACCAGAAAAATCTCAAGATTTCTATTCCCATCTTTCTAACAAGCAGCTTTAAGTAAATACTTCCGAAAACAAATTTTGGATGTTATTTCTTCACATTAGCATATTTCATTCCCTCCTTGTGTTCAGACTGCACAGAAGTACAAAAAAAGAGGATGACAACTAACATTTATTATTATGGGTGTTGAATATTGCCAAGTCAGTTCTTATTCTAATATTCTAAAATATCTAACGTTTATTATAAATGTGGAAACAATATTTACTCAAAAGAATGGTGCATATATAAAAAGTCTATGTAAAACCAGGAAACAACCAAAGAACTAAATTTCTACTTCAAAAATCATAATCACACCTACATGTTTTCCACACAGATGGGGAGAAGAGTGAGAAGTCTGTAAAAAACAAACCTTATCAACGCTGAATAACTGAAATAGTGCGTGGCCAAGTTGATAAGATATTTTAATTCCAGCACAGTGTGGCCCCGCAGCTCCAATGCTACAGTCATTCAACTAACAAGCAATTAAACCCTTCAGGGATTCAGAGCTACCATAGCAGTATCATGGATACACCTAACAATCTTTATGCACAATGCAGAGATAATCAATAAGCAATCAAACTCCAGTCACCTGAACAATATGGCCCAGTTGGGCCTAGGTTACACCAGGACTCAGGCTGGTTTTAAGACTCCCATCTCTGCAGTCACAGGGTTCAGTATGAGTGGGGCAGGGAGGGGGCTGTGGAGGGGCTCTCCCTCCCACCCCACCTCCAAGCTGCTCTGAGCAGAGTGGCACACAGCTGCAGGACTGATATGGGAACAATGCAGTGACCAATGCAATACGCTGCAGGTTTGTCTGTCTGCTCTGCACAACCTCTGTTTTAACCACGCATGCAATTTCTACTGAGACTCCTCCTGCTGCAGACTGAGGGCACCATACAACAGAAACGGCGTGGGGAAAGTTGCTGTGCACACCGTATCTTGACATGGCAGCTTACAGATACCCGGGCTCTACGAGTTCTTCCTTATCTCTTTCCTCATGTTACATCTGCTCTCAAGAATACTCTGTTCCCATGCCCTGCCTTCATCAGCCTGCTGCAAAGCCACAGCAATGCAGCCGCACAACCAGGAGGCTCCAAAAACTGCACGTTTCATCTCACTGCTTCCTTTCCTGTAGAACAGAGCTTGATTCCAGCACAATAAACGAAGGGACTACATTCATTGCTTTATTTGTCTCTGGCAACGTGCAGAACCTGCTCCTCTCCAGCTATCAAGCATAATCTTCAGTTCACTCTCAGCTACAGTTACCAAGTAAGTTTCTGCTGTTTTAACTAAAACTAGTTCAGTTATTTTCCATGGGGTGAATCAAGGCCTCACTGCAAGCTGCAGTACTTGGAAATGCTCACCTCAGTAGCAGCACACACACAAAGACAACTTTTAGATGTAGCGACCAAGTATTGACACTCACCATTATCAGTTTTTCATTCACACGTCTTGTCACTAAAAATATTTTTAAAATATCAGTAGTAGAGCTGCATGGTAATTCCCAAGTAAAAGCATTCAAACAGCAATACACTGCATAGAGAACATGTGATTTCAAACTAAGATTATATTATCTGTGAGATTTCAAATTATTCCCAATAGCATAACCTAAATTTTAACGTTTATCAAGATAGACACTTAGCTTTAGGCAAAACAAGGGCATTTTTTTTTAAGTCTAAATATGGATTTTTTTTTCAAATGCTTATAAAAATTGAATAGTTTGTAATAAGAGCACAAATACGTACCAAGGGTGTATAAGACAGAAGAAAAGCTATAGTAGCTCATTTCTAATTCAGCTTCAAATTTTCTTCTAAATACTTAATGAATGATATTTTAAGATACACGAACCACCTCTTTGCTTAAAAACCAGATTGCTGCTCTAGATCAGAACTTGTATGAACATCATTAGCCTTTAATAGATTTCTACCCTTTCTTTGTTCTTATGTTTATTTTCTAATACAAGAGATTCAGGTCTTCCCATGTGTTCACACCACCAATGTACAGATCTGTATAAAAATTAATTGCTGCATCACTGCATATCTCCTAGAAACATCACAGTAACAGATGACACTGATATCCTGCAAATTTCTGGGGACCTTGAGAAATCAGACTCACACAACTGCCATAAATCCTTAGACTCAGCTACATTTGACAAACAATTTTAAACTGTTCCATCAGTATCGATTACTGAAAAAAATTTATACTTTAAAGCCAAATCTGAGCCATCCTGATGATCATTTAAATACTGATTCATGCACTCAGAACTGTGCTTCAAGTGAGAACAGTCTAAGTCATGTTCATCAGAACTGGATAGGCACAGACATTTCATGCAGGTTGTCAGGAGGAAGGAGTGGGGGAAACTGATTCACACACACAAAAAAGGACAGAAAAACCTGCAAGCACTAATTCAGAGCTCCTATTTTCCCAGATGAGTTACTTTCCACCATTAATAATCCTGCCCCATTTAAACTTCAAAATACCCAAAGTAATTAAGCTATGTTGTGCTTGCCAACTTGGAGAGGCACTTGGGAGTAATATGCATGTTAATCAGGAACATTAACTGCCAGACTGTATGAATTCTGCTTCTCATTACTCAATCTTTATTATTGTTATTTAGAACCGGTTTTCAGTCTGGGGAAAAACCTCCCTTCTTCAAACAAGTTCGTCTCTGAGAATATTTATTCTGAGCTATAATACCCATTTGTTTTAGGGATGTGATGAATCTTCCCATGGTTGCCAGTCATTAAATAGCTTCTTGCTATCAAGAAACAAATAAAGATGCAGGACATCATTATTTCAATTGCCTAGCAACACCTCTTCTAACATCACATTTTGACAAGTGGTTGAAGCCTTTTCTAGCAGGAAGGAGTTGCTCCAGCACAAGGACTGCCAGAGTCAAGAATCAGCTCTACCTTTCTTGATGGCCAGCTTTGTTCTTACGATCTGAATTTCCATGTAAGTGAAATCCTTATCTCTATTCATAGGAAAGTCAGATGATGCATGCAACATATTTTGAAACCTTCCTCACTATAGGCTCAATCTAGCGAGGTATAAGGTAAAGAAAAATGACAAGCAGCTTTCACCATGCCAGATCTACCATAATATAGCAACTAGGCTTGAAATGCACCAGACTATAAAATTCTTACCTCATTTGATATCAGCCAGATTTCTTGACCTGAGTCTTTTACTCTACAGAGCTTACTACTGAGAACTTTGGGCAATAAAAATAAGAGCAAAATCATCGTGTAGATCTTAAAATACACATATGAAGTTATCCAACGCTTTTTCAACCCATACAACAAAGGTTTGGAATGAATGTAGCAAAAGAGATACAAAGCTCTCTCTCAGAGTCTATTTTTAATGTGAAGTAACTCTTTTAGCAAGAAGTAACCACTCAAATTTTTAGTAAAGATCTTATTTCTTCCAAGTATCTTTACCCAACTTTATCATTTTTCAAAAGGCTGACAGTTTGTAAGAAAATTCAAATAATTCTGTTTTGCTATCAAAAAGATACTAGAAGTTTAAATACTTGATTAAACGTGAATTCTCTTTATTATGTAATGTGGTTTTGGACTACCTTTCAACTTAGAAGGTAGAGAATCCAGCATTTTATCAGGAAAGTTAGTGTTTTAATTTAGATAATAAGTTGTGGCATTATCTAGTAAGCCATGACTTGTTAAAATGCACATACAGTTCTAGTATTCAATTTGTTAATAAATCAAATCTTACCTGGGAATTCACTGTACATCTTACTTCTATGTATACACATACCCACGTGGGCTCCTACATATGCTTCTTCTTTCCACTGTACAAGCAATACTGTTTTCATACGTGAGAATTCAAAGAGTTCAACATAGTTTAATTTCAAACATTTTTACAATACATCTGGCAAAACCCAACCCTTCCCTTCTATTAGAACTCAGTTCTGTATTACTCCCAACAACATACAAATGTCATACTTTATTTTTAAAAAAAGTAGGAGTTACCTTTCAAAAGCTGATTCAGGTCCATGGCATCATGCAAGACTTTTCGACTATATCTGCGGTCAAACTCGGAATCTGAGAAGGGAGAAGAAAAATCATGTAAAATTGGACTTTCCAGCCTCACAGTTTTTAGAAATTATGTTGTACTTAAATTCTTCAAAATTACCATATAGTTCTTGGCTCACGTTTTCTTGTCTTTTTATTTTTAATTTCTTGTCATTTGAAGCTGCAAGTTCAAAAGACTGGATAGGACTGATGTCTGGAGTTGACAGAGGTGTTACATCGGTCACCGTGTCTTCAGACTCTTCCAGGTAATCACCAAGCTTTGGTTTTCCTTCTGTTACTTTTATTGATGACTTGAATTTTTGTTTTGGAGACAGAAGAGCTACACTACAAGCATTCCTCTTTGAGGAAGAATGTGATGAATCCGATAAACAGCTATCAGAATCTGTATCAGAGCAATCTGTATCTGAGCTCGAAGATGAAGATGAGGAGGAAGAGGAGGAAGAAGAGGAGGAGGAGGAACTGATATTAGTGTATTTTTTGCTAGCCTTTTTTGCGTTGTTTGACTGCTTAGCAGACTTTGGTCTAACCTTCTGTTTTTTGCCATCGTCACTACTGTCTTCTTCATCTGTATAATAGTCTTCTTCACCTTCTTTAACTATTTTGGGGATTCCAGCCAGAACACTTTCCGGCATTCCCTTACTTGCTGCAGATCCTGTTCCAGAGGTACCTGCGTTCTCTGAAGCTGGAGAAAGTGAGGAAGATGAAGCATCCACTGGGTGGTCTGTGTTGCTTTCTAGGGACTGATCCTTCTGCAAATCTTCCTGCTTCTCTTTGCTTTCCTCCTCACAACAGTTTGCATCCTTTGTATTAGCAATCAAATCAGGGTCTGAAAGAATCACTTCCTTTGTACTTTCTTTCTCTATACATTCACCATTTTCTTCACTCTTCTTTTTCTCTTCCTCCAAATCACTGTCAAAGAAAGCATGATCCACTTCACCATCTGATACATCTTCAAAGCGATCCATACTGAAACACCAAGTGTCTCCTGCAACCATCAGAAAAGGTTTCCAACGGTTAGCATAAGAAAAGATACAAGCACACTTTCAGTATAATAGTTTTGTTCTTTATTCTCTTAGCTCTTGTCATTTATAATTCTGCATTTAATTATGTTACATAGCTAGGGACAGCTCCGTAGTTGAGTTTTATAATGAAATTTGGTTCTGCTTTATTGTACATGGCTTATGTACTTCTATTAGGCCAGTAAGCATTACTTACTTTTTGGCCAATTACACGAACAAAAACTATCATGATTTCAACACTTTCATCCCCAAGGAATTTGTCAAACACTTTTGATGGTACAGTGCCTTAACTACAACAAGCATGTAATTGAAGTGTCTGGGTTTTGTCCCTTTAAGCTAGAACCTCTCTGTATTATTGCTTTGGGTTTTATTTTAGAAACCTTGGGTCTGTGCGGTGGTCCTCACCTTGGCTGAGGCAGCGGTCCAAACTGTGGACTTTAAGAATGAAAAGGAGGTGCAATTTCAATTTACATCAAAGATCCATGGCTCCCTAGGTTAAACTGTAATAGATGCAGGGTTTGTCAGAATTAATCTTTCAGTTTGGATCAGGAGCCTGCTTTTCTTGGCAGTCCGTCCTCTACAATGCGCTGTGTAGCACAGTAAGCAAATCTGATTCGTTTCAGATGAAACTAACCTCTAACGTGTGCTCCAGGCACTAACCTAGCACACCCACACCAGTAGTTACCAGTCACTCCACAGGACTGGATAACAGCTCATCCTAACAAAAGGATAATTCATGCATATAGCACATATATCAGGTCCTCAGTGCTGGTACGCTCTACAGATCTGCTCCTGTTGTGTCATACTTCTTATGGAAACACACGGTGTTAGATCCTATGAAAATTGTGTATGTAGTAGGGGGGATATGACAGTTTCCACTCGTTATTAGGATATATACGGAACTAAAAAGAAAAAAATACAATGAAAACAGAAATAGTAACACAGACCGCTGTTCCCAGCTAGCTAGAAGCACTTTTCTCCTACTATTTGTCACAGGTTATATATATATTTGATGTATTTATTGATTGCATTTTAAATTCTTCAGACTCAAGGAAACCAAGAACAAAGACAGTAGAAGCAACTAGGCAAGGCAGGAGAACGAGAATATTTCAAGAGGTGCTCTCCCTTAAACCCATACAATTTGTTGCCATGGCAAACAAGGGTGAAAAAGGAATTCCTAAGCTTGCTTTGAAAGTGCAAGACTATTCCCAAGAAAGCCTCTACTTAAAGTTATTTCAAAACACAAGATTTTTCAAAGGTCACCGTCATTCAGTTATCTTGCCACTTCTCAAATACTGCTCTCCTTCAGGGATTTGAAATACGCACCCCAAGTACAAAAAGGCCAGTACAAAAGTAGAAGGTACGGAATCTCCTGTGGTTTTAAAATCCATGAAGACAAAGAACTGAAGAGATTTAATAAGGTTAGATGTTGTATAAACCTGAAAACGCTAGGGAAAAAAGCAAGCAAATGTCAATTTTGGTGTCTTAAGAGAAACTCTTTAAGCACCTAAAGCCTTGCAGAACATCAGAACAAAGGAATAAAACACTTGGGAACCCTTAACTTGAAACACTACAAGGAATTTGGAAACTTTTCCAATGCACGTCACTCGCTATGATCCCTGGCTTCAGGCAAGGTTGCACAGCCTGCAATGCCCAACTGCCATACAAATTCCTGCAAGGTTTCCTGGAGCAGCTTCCTAAAAGGATGATGTATTTGAATATATGAAAATGTACGTCACAGAAGAAGAATCAGAAGACAATAACACAACATTGCTTAGTTATGGCTGATTGGTAAGAGTGGGCACATGGCATATTTCACTTGTCTCAAGCACATGGATGTGACCCACTGTTAGCACTGCTGTACGTACAGGAGCGCAAGGGGATAAGGCAACACCAGGTTTGCGGGTGGATGAAGACTCACTAGTACAGGTTGAAATACCAAACTCCGTTGTGTAACCCACTGTTTGCTTCTGTAATGCTGCCCAGTTCAGAAAGTGCAAGTAAACTAGGATTATATTACAGGAGATGAGATACTAAGTGGTTGCACTGAGACTTCTCAGATGTTTCTTTGCTGAACACAACCTCTTGAGTGAAGAAGGGATTTAACTCCAGGTAGTGGCAAGAGGACAGAGAATAGGTGACAAAATGTGACAGGAAGCAGCAAGGGGCCCTTAAACTCCTGCCCACCTCCATCACCAGCCAAGGAGCACGTCTTCCCACATCGCGTGACTTACAAATCGCTGAACCATGAGTTCTCCGTGAAGCCTGAGCCAGAACTGATTAATGGATAAGGACTGCCATTACCAGAAGAAACGCAGTTATCAGCCTTGCTGTGCCTGAGGAGCAGCAGTCAGTTCAGTGCCAAGCGCTCCTTCCATGTTCTGGCACAGCCCCGCAACTACTTCAGCCTTCTTCTTAATGGGAAACAGATGCACTACATCGGTCCCTTTCTCTCACTGACACTCCTGATCATTCACAAGCTAAACTTTAATTAATTTTGTAGTTTCTGTTAAAAACAAATGGGAGGAAACAGATGAAGAGATGGTATTTTTTTGTTCCTATTCCCCTCACGCAGCCAGAAGGTCTTTAAGGGAGCTGGAATCTGCCAAGCAGCAGCAATACAGAATAAGCAATTTTGCTGATGAACCACGTCTAATTTAATAAACAAACTGTGCACACACAGCCCTTTCTATACAGGGCAGAACGTCATTTTATGTCTGTGAGAAGTACAGAGTTCTGCTAAGGGAACATTCATTAAAATATAGAACCAACAAGTGAAATCCTGAAAGCCCAGTAAACTGGCAACAGGACCAAACACTTCTCATTAACTGCTAATTCTAATAACCATTGCAATTATTTTCAAAAGATGTATGCTCTCTGCGGCTTCCTGTCATGAAACCTTCTATCAGAAGCAATAAGAAGACACCTTCTGGTTGAAGGTTATCAACTTTCCTTCGTAAATATTGTTGGTACTCGATATGGGCAGAACTAACAAAGCCAGAGAGCCTCTCCCAGCCTGCGCAGTCGCTGCTTCCCCTTTTAGCTGGAAATTTCCAGCTTTCCAGAGCAGAGACCCACCCTCCCAATCTCAGACCGCAGAACCAAGTGTTTGAGAGCTAAGGGGCTGGAAGGTTAAAGTGTCTTAATTAAAGTTCTATTCTGCCAGTGGCAGATGTTGGTTAGGATGTTCCCAAATCCTCTGGCTCTAGTTGTTGCCCCGCTGGCAGGGATCCTAACCCCTCACTAATGCTGACTGCCGAATTCTATGGTGTACCTGGAAAGGGTGAGAACGCTAACCACATCGTCTAACTACCACGTGCAGAATGATAATCAGTGAACAAGTTACCACGTAAAAGCAAGCTAATTCAAAGCTGGCCCTTCCCCTCTTTCTCCTGCCCCTCCTCCTTCGTTTTTGGCTGACACAAACAAGAAGTGAGCAAATTTGAAAGCGTCTAGGAAGATGCAACAAAATTTCTAAGAAGATTGGAAAAGTACAACTTATGAGGACTTGTTTTGCTTATAAGAGAGAAAACAGAGGAAAGTATGAATCTTAAAATATGTAAAACAGACTGAACTAAAACTTAGTTTGTTCTCAGATACAATCACCATGTGTTCGAAATCAAGCAGTGCAGCTGCCCCCAGCCACATGCCTCGCTGTGCACACACAGCCCTACTCACCTCCTCTTGAACGCGAGGTTTCATTTTTGCTACCAACAGCAACACAGCATGCAAAGGAGGAAGGATCTCTCACAGGAAACTATTTCCCATGAGGGAATTCCCCACTGAAAATTTTGCCATTGCTGCCCCTTTTCCTCCTCACCCCCCCCTTGCCCTGGTTTTCTCCGCTGCATACTCAAAGGGAAAAGCATTTTCTCTGCAGGCTGTAAAATACAGTCTATTAACTCTCAGACCTGTGTCAGGTCAGCCCTCACAAGAGCATTCTGACCATCTGCAAACAGAGGCAGACCCACTGGAGATGCTCCACAGTACTCTGAATCCTTTAAAAGGATCCCAGCAGAAAGTCCTGGGTGTCCTGCCGATCCCAAGCAAGGATTCAGTTCAGCAAGTGGGCACTAGAAGCTCCTGGAACAGTCAATTGCCATCATCTGTTTGAGTAAACGAGAGCACATGACCACCACAGAGCCCTGGATGACCGCAGGGCAAAGGCCTTGAAGTTAATGTACAAGAAGGAGAAGAAAAAAAAAATAGTTCTACTTGATCAAAAAAAAAAACATTCCCCTACTATGAAAAGCCAAAATATACCGAGGGATGTGGACCTGTAGCTTCAGGACTTGACTCACACGCTCTCCCTGCTGCTACATATTCTTCATTCTGTAATTCTGTTCTCCAGCACAGGTTGCTTGGTTATGTTCCCACCAAACAAAAGGAGTGCAGATGACTGAGGAAGCCACAGTTCCTGCTGGGAAGATCTCTCCTGAGCTCTCATAGGACTCAGGATTGCGAAGGAAAGACACCAGCTCCAGCCACAAGGACACGCTTGCTGAAGAAACAAGCACAGATTTTTTTTTCCTTAGTGCATCCTAGAAAATGTTGTGGGAAGCGGTTGGTTTAGTTTTGCTCCTTAATAAACCTCATTCTCGTGAGAGGAAAACCTGGGTTGGAGGCTACTGAGCTTAAACGATGGCTGCGATGATGCCTGTGCAACAAGGCCATTGCTACTGCTTACTGTTGAGAAACCCAGGAAAATTGTCAGCAAACCCTCCAAACCCAGAGGGAACAGAAGCAACTTAGAATAAAAATAAACAACAAGGAATCATATGCTGTCTGATAAAAACACCAGCAGCTTCTGGCCCTGCTTGTGAACATGGAGAAGTGATGCCACCCACACCCGTGGGCTGACTGCCACACGCTGCTCCCCCTACCTGCAAGGGTCCACTGCTTGCAAGGTAATAAAAAACAACTCCTCCTTTAGTGCAAAACTTGAGCAAATACACCTCAAAAAGGCTGGGGTTACACGAGGCATCACCCTGGTGCACCAGCCTAGGGACTCTGTCTTTCTTCCTTCTGCTGCAAGTACACCACTCAAACACAAAAAAAATCACCAGTATTTGTGCAATAACTGCCCCATTATCCCCACCTTGTAACAAACCACCTGTGTCTGCCCTGTGCTCCTGCCTCATTCACTGCAAACAGTAGAGATGTGTGCCAAAAATGCTGAGAATATACAGGTGCTCACCTGCCACAGCTGGGAAGCCAGGGCTCAAAAATAAAGCCCAAATAGAGGTCAAGACATTTTCATCCACGTGCTGACCATCCACATCATACACACGCTGTCCTTCCACATGGATCAATTAAATGCAAGTTTTGTGCCCACAATGCACCAAATGCCTGTTAAAAACACCTGTGACACCTGTTATCACCCCTGGGGAAATACACACACACTTAAAGAGATGCAGACCACGTTCTCCACAGCTGCTAAAGATGAGATGTAATTCACGTATTCTCAGCTTCTTCTTCTATCCAAGAGGAAGAAGCCCTGACTGGTACAGGTGAGCAGAGGGAACTACATTAGTACAGTCTCCAAATCAATACACAAAGAACAGCTTAAACAACTACCGCTCAGTCCCAGTACATGCACTTTGCCTCAGAGTGTGTGCAGGGCAAATGAGGTAAAGGCCTCTTGAGATCCTCTTGCATTATATTTTTATGACTTCTTCATTTCTTCAGATGAGAAGCCTTACTATGGAAATACAGGTAAAATACTGGAACACAAGGCTGTCTTTTAAATGCATCATGATATGGGTGGGCTTCCTGGGATTCTCTGTATTATGTTGCTAAAATAAAACGCTTCAAGATTGCCAAATGCCCACCACCAAATCACCACCCACCACCACCATCAGACTGCTGGATGGGAAATACCTCCGTGTCAAGAAAGATAGGGCTTGTTTTAAACCTTTACTATCACCAGGCTTGGCTGAGCATGAGACCAGAAAAGCAAAGAACGAAAATGCTTTAAAGGGCAGCTCTGGTGGAAGCACTGAGGGCACACCTGTTATCATAACAGCCTACCCATTTCCCATAAATCTGAGGAGATATTACTGCAATTTTTGAAGGCCTCCTCGAAGAAGTACTTCTATGTACTGCTGGGTCAAGTCTCTAGATTTATATCCCCAAATTCCTTGTTGTCTCCTTTTCTGCACTCTCCATTTCACACCATTACAAGCAATATCTAGGCTGAGAAAACACAAAGGAACAACGCAAGCACAACAAAAGCAACTAAGAAAAAGCACTGAAAGAGCTCCAAGCATTCCAAAAAAATGAGTCCTAAGATTTGAAGACTATTTTATGAATCCGTTCTTCAACTAACATCTGGTGATTAATTTTCTAGTAACTATGACTTCATTATAGTCTTCAAACAGTTTCTCTGAAGAATTTCACTTTCTGTGCAACTTTTTTCTCCCTCCACTGATGACTCCAGTGATCAGTCGCTACCAAGAAGCTTCCTATACTGGAGAAAGAGATTAACCACTTTTTCCACAGAAGCAATAATGCACAAAACACATTTGATGCTCTCTATTGAACACCTCATAACAGACAAATGCAGAGCTCCAACAGAAATTTAGTACTGCTATTTCTATTATAATCATTCCAACCTGCAGCTTTCTTGCCTGCTATGTTTCCATGAACGTTGCAAACTTTTAACCACAAGGTTTATAAATATATAAATGTCCAAATGCAAACACTAAATACTTCTTGTATGTTTTGTAGTATGAAGGGACAAATGTAAGCACTTGCATACTGTAACAAAAACCAGCTTCTAAAAAACTGGATTCAATAGAACAACACTGGAAACACTTCAGCAAGGCATTAAAGATAGTTTCAGTTGTAGTTTAATATGTCTTAAGGCATAACATATTTTAAAGTGCTGACTTTCTTAATATGTTGTGAGAACTCCAGAAAAAACTAGGGCTTCACAAGCACGACACAGGTTGCTGTTTGTATCATCTCGCTGGGAGACTTGGGAAGGGATTCAGTTATTCTGCCCTACTGCAGGGGCCACACAAACGATACGCAGGGAAGGCCCAGGATTTACAGTTACCTCTTCTGTGGCTTCCACGCAAATCCGTACGGGTGGCTGGTTATTTGGCGGCTGGTTATTCTTCCAAAGTACTTGGTTCCCATCCTGGGACCCAGCAATGAAGAATACAGCCCTGGGCTACAATACCATCGCCCTGAGGAAATGACAAAGACGCAACTCGCGATGATTTTTACCACACTCTGAGACGAGCTGTTTACAGGAATCGCTTCGGCTGACTTCGTGCCTACCCCGGCGGCTCCGGGCCAGCAGGAGCCCCCCCATACAGCACGCACCCGAGGGACACCCACATACGTGTCGCTCAGGCGGCGACCCAAGTAGCGAGACAGCGAACTCCCTCATAAAATAACACACAAATAAACAGCAGCAGTAAAGAAACGCGCTCCCCACCTTGCTCGAGCTGGCATTTGAGGGCAAAACTGACCAGAGGCGGGGGAAGGGAAACGCCACACACCCGCTCTCCGGGCTCCTTCCTCGGCCCCCGGCAGGGACCCCAGCGGGCCGGCAGCCCCGGGCGAGCAACCGCCGCCTTCTTCCCCCCCCCGGCTTCGCTGTGGTAACGGCGCGGGGGCCGGGGCGGATACTCACACGGCCGGGCCGAGAGAGAGCAGGGCAATGGGGGAACGGCGCCGCTCCGCCGCCGTCTTGCTGAGAGCCTCCTGCGCCGCCCGGGCCAGCCCCCTCGCGTCGCCGGGCGGGGAGAGGCGGTGCTTGAGGGGGAGGGAAGGGAGCCGAGGGCCGGGAGGGGGCTCTCGGGTTCCTCCCCTCCTTCCTCAGCCTTTCGGGGATGGGGGAGATGGTTGGGGTGCTCGATGAGGGGATGGCGCCCACCCTGAGGTGGTGGTGGCTCAGGCTGAGGTGATGGTCCCCGTGCTGAGGTGATGGTGCTCCTGGTTGAGGTGATGAGGTCTCACATGAAGGTGATGGAGACAAATTTGAGGAGCAGAGGGAAGTACCTGTTTCTACCCGAACACAAGATTCACCCTCCCTCAAGATTCACCCTCATCTCCACATCCTTGAATCTCACGGTAATTACTGAAGATAAACGGATGAAGCCTTCAGGCAGAGCTTCGTTACTTCTGGCGCTGATGAGCCGGGTGGCAACTACCACTAATGGTCTGCCACCGTAAGTGGTAGTGTCCTGCGTGAGGGTGGGAAAGATTCCGGCTCTTTTGAGGGGGGCAGTTGAAATAGCAGACCTTGGCGTGCCTCTAACAGCAACAATATGGCTTTTTAAGAAAGTAGGATAGAACCGTGAAAAGAAAGATTCAAAACTAAAAAACAAACAAAAATGGTCCTGTTATTCATTATGAAAGAGATTTAATGACATGATCATGGTTTTTTTTTGTTTTTTTTGGTATTTTTTGCTGAGCATATTGAATTTTGAGTTGAATCAGGCTGTGCAGCCAAGACAACTGTTGTGTATACGGCCCTGTTTAATTTGGCACATGAATATAGACACACACACAGAGTATGTGTATGTATGTGCGCATGTATACAAACACACATTTTAAAATACATACACTGAACGTGGCAGAATACTACAAGTACAGAAAGAAAATCTCCTGATAACGTAACTGAATTCCCATGTGTTAACCAGATTGTATTACTACTGCTACAGTGTTTAATGGAGGTTCTTCAACTCACTTCAATTAACTTTTCATATTTCATGATGTATTTCATTCTCATTTTTCAGGAACCTTGCTCAACTCAGTGTTGAAATGTTGAATAATCACAACTGCAGTAGAAATCAGTGGGAGCTGTAATTGGAAAACACCAAGTACTACAAAATACTGAGCATTCCAAAAAGTCTCTCTGTTATCTCACATTACACATTAAGTAGGTACTTTTGCCTTTGTTTTTCCTGTGCATCAAGTTCCTATTTGCAAACAGGCAAAATACACCACTCATAAAAATGTATAACAAGAAAAAATCAGTTAGTATTTGTAAAGTACTTGGCCTAACTTACATATTCTGCAGAAATTCAGGCAACAAAATAAAAAGTGCTCTTCATATGAGAGCAATTCAACTAATTTTTAGTAAGGGAGGAATGGAGCTTATCAGAAAGATAGTACGTGATAGTAGTAAATTGCCAGCCTCTACAGTAACATGATTGGAACCAGAAAGGCCCACAAAAGACTAAGCAAACAAAAGAAAGCCTTTGCTATAGCATTAAGCTAGTCTAAACATTTTGAAGGTGCAAATTTATAAAAGTTAAAAGTTTGCAGTACTGTGAAGTTAAAAGTTGCAAGACTATCACTCTAAGGAGAGATACAAAATGGAATGTATCTCAGTTTTGGGGCTTGGTGTAGGATATGTTATAAACAAGCTAATTATACTCTTTGCTCAAAGGAGAAAAGTGAAGATGCTGACTCTTCACCCAAATTAGACATAATTTCTGTTTTAAAATGAGATAAACTCTTCTCTTTGTAGGAAATATATTTGCTGTAATGCTTGAAAAAGGTAGAGTTTGAATAGCTTATCTCACAAACTAATTCCATGAAGGATTGAAATAGTTATAGAAAGATAATAACATAATCCCCAGTCCAAAAAAATCACTTCTGAAGTCCTTTTTATATTCTACAGAAATGTATTTTATAAAGTACAAAAGGGGGAATTCAAATAACACTGAATTGAACTTGAAAATTGCCACTGACTTGCATGGAGCTAGGACATCATCTAAAATATTAGGAACTGTATGTCAGGTTGGAAAGTCATAGAATCTTATTAAAAACTAAAAGAAAAACAATCAAAGCTCCCTCTAGCTCTATGGATATACACTTGAACTGATTTAGATACATCTAATTCAGGGTATGATGTGTAAATCCTGACTAAAATTGGTAGGATTACTCATTCAGACAAGAACTGTTTTTGTGCGTAAGCACTGCAGGACTAAACCTTCATTGTAGTTAGGTTTATTTTTTATCTTCCTCTCCACTTCTGAGAATTAATACTCTAATGAGAAAATAATCTCTGTTTACACAGAACTAACAGCATTACAAGCTCTGCTTCAGGTTAATTTAAAAATTTAATTCCCTTAAGTAGTTTTGACAGAGGCCCAGGCAGTTTCCTGAATGCATTTGCTGTAGAAGGCCTCTCCACACTCTGTCTTGTTTCTTGTGTGGCTCTTGAGATGCCAGAATAGATGTTGAATGTAGTCCAGAGCCTCATATTTTCTGAACTCTGAGGAATTAAGTGTGTGCTGGGAGTTGGATCTCTGCTTTTTGTTTTCTACCTGATGAGAGTAAAATAACATTACAGGAAACCTTCTGGCATGTTGGGCCTTCTCCAAAAGCTCTTGGCCTCTGCAAGAATCTCTCCATTGGTTGTAATGACCAGAGATATTGAAAGAACCTTGTACCTCAAGCCCTTTGGTGCAGCATCGGGATGCTTTGGCACTGGCAGTAGTGTTTTCACTTTCTGCATATGATGATTTTCACCTTTAATCACATTAGACACATTACTCAAGTAATCACTTTTGGACACCCTGGATGGTCTGAGCTAGTGCTTACATGAGCTTTTTGCAATTTAATATCCACTAAATAGAATAAACCGTACAATAAAACTATATTTAAGCTACCGTAAAGGATCAGCTTAAGGAGCAGAGTCTCTTTTGGTCAGTGACTGAAATGGGGGCTGAAATCACCACAAAACTACTTCACTATTTTGAGAGGAAATAGATTTCAGTGCAAAACTCTAAAAGGAAAAGACACGTATGTATGGAGACAATCTGATACACAAGTCAGGCCGTTCTGTGGGTTAGGTTAGAACTAGCTTAAAAATACTGTGTGTTGTCCTTGCTTCCATTACAGTTCTGCGCCACAAACTGAGCCCTAAACGATCTCTGGAGAGCAATGTTAGGGCTGTAACTGAGTATTCCAGCTCCTGGCCTTGACTTGTGCAATATCTCAGAAGCGCTGGAAAATTCAGAGCTTAGTTTTAAAGTGGTTGCTTGCGCTCTTGAGATTATAGAGAGATGTAAGCATGCACGGATCTAAGCATTCACAAGATCAGGGCTTTGGCGTTCACCCTTTTTTTTTTTCATAGGAATTGTAGCATTAACCTTACAGAAGCGACTGCTGAATGGGAATAACTCAGGGTGCCTCCAGCCTCAGCACGGTAACCGTGTGGAACATGGCAAAGCTTTTGCCCCCCTCAGGACTTGTTAGGACCAGGTGCCTGCGCTACGGATCTCCAGCGGCAGGGCAGCGGTGGGCATCCCTTGGGGCCGGTTAGTGGGGTCGCTGTCGTCCCCTTTCCCCGCTCCACCACCTCTTTATCCCCACAACCCCGCTGTTCAGGCTCAGGGACCGAGCGCAGGGCGGCTGCGGAGGGGCTGCGGGTGCCGCCCGCCTCCTCCCGGCCTGCGCGGGGCCTCCGGGCCGGCCCCAGCCCAGCCCCGGCCCCGCCTCCGCCTCCTCCCCGTGCCGGGGCTGCCTCCAGGAAGCGGCCGAGCCGCGGCGAGCCCAGCCGAGCCGAGCCGAGCCGCGCCGCGCCGCCGCCGGGCATGAGCTCCGGCTCCCCCGGCGGCCGCAGCGGTGCCAGTGGCGGCGGGCGGCGGAGACCGAAGGGGAGGCGGCGGCGGAGGAGGCGGAGGAGGAGGAGGAGAGGGGCCCCGGCAGCGGCCGCCTCGGCGGGGGGCTGCGGCGGCTAGCGGGAGATGCGCTGCGTGCCCGCGGCGCCCCGAGCAGCATGTTCCCCGCCGCCGACAGCGCTAGCGGCACGGCCGGACAGCCCGAGGCAACGGGGGGCGCCGCCAGCACCGCCGCTCCCCCTCCGTGCTCGCACGGCAGCCGCAGCGGCGACGAGGAGGAGGAGGAGGAGGCGGCCGAAGACGAAGAGGACGGGGAGCGCGGCGCGCCCCGCTTGGTGCTGGCGGCGGGGCTGGCGCTGCTGGCCGCCTCCGTCGCCTACCTGGGCCGGCAGGAGGAGGCGGGGGGCCGCGGGCCGCTCTGCCTGGCCCTGCCGCTGCTCCGCCTCGCCCTCTACGCGGGCTGCGCCGCCGCCGCCGCCGCGCTGGGCGCCCTGCTCGGCCTGCTCGGCCGCCGCCGCCGCCTGCCCCCGCCCGCCCGCCCCGCTGCGCCCCGGCCGCGGCTGCCGGCGGTAAGTGGCGCCCCGGGACCCCCCAAAACCTCGGGGCTGAGAGAGGGGACGCCCCGCAGCCTGTCAGGGTGCGGGTGGCACAAGGGTTGGGAGTCCAGGTAGAGGAGCTAGCCAAAGTAATAACTTGGTTCCCATCCGCTCCGGTCTCTCCAGAGCTGTTCCTAAGCCAGGCTTGGAAAGCTGCTGCTGGGAGCGGGGATCCAGCTCTGCACACCGGTATCAGGGTCACCTGGTGTTGGGCATCACGGTGGGGGCTCTGGTACGGTGCCCCCATCTGCTCCCTGGTGAGCGCAGACCTCGGTGGGGTGTTAGCAGGTGAGGTGCTCGGCAGCAGAAAGCAGCACCCAAACGCTGTTTGGCTTTGACAGCATCACACGGGGTATCTGAGAGTGCTCTGGGAGGCAAAACGGGCATGGTTTGTGCCACCTCGCCGTACAGCCTAGCTACGTCTCGTTATGCCTGGTCCGTGCCTTGTTCGTGTCAGCAGCAGGTAAATAACTTGTGCTGTCGCTTGTCTTCGTCTGCAGCCGAACTTGCAGAAAGCACGGGGTGCTGATAGGGCAGAGGACCTGTCAGGCATCATTCACTGCTGTAGTTGGCCGTCTTGACGATCAGCTCTGCTAACGAGCTGCAGCCCTGCTTTATTTTTCCCTCCTTTGACCCGTGGAGGGAAGGAAACTGTCTTTGTGAGTACATTTTTCCAGGCCCGTGTTTAAGGGAAGCTGGCAGAACGCTGTTGTCTGTAGACAGGTTGGTTTGGCTGGGCGTTGGTGACTTCAGCAAGTAATACAATGTGCAGAGGGGTGTCTACGATCCAGTTGTGGCAGTGGGTGCGTGTTATACGGGTTTTGGCCTCAGGGTAGGAGATCAGGAGGCAAATGAACGGGAGAAGAAGAAAAATGAGAAGATGTTATGCAGAAAGTCAGCAAATGATAGGCAGAAGGTACCTGTCCCGTATGTAGTATTTAAGTGAGCACAGCAAAGGATGGTTCTGCTGGTTTTTGTAGTAGCGATGCGTATGAAGTTCCTAAGGAGTCCTGGTTAGTAGGGGACGGTTTGATTTTGCATTTTACCGTTCAGCTGCCTTATAAGGGAAAAATGCATCGCTAATAAATCTCTTCAGATTTGTAGATTTGCATATTTAAGCAGCAGTGCTATAGTTCCAGTGACACTTATGTGCTGGCATCCTTTTCTGAACATCTGTGTGTGTATTAAGTCACTTCTAAGAGAACAAATTGTATATGTACTGCAAAGAACCTTTCCATAAACTTAATAACTGAAATCTCCCAACTGCTGCAATGAGGGGCAGCCTTGCAGATTTGTGAAAACAAACAGTGAAAAATCAGTTTAATTTGGGAAGTCCAGCATTGAAGGAAAAAAAAAACAACAACAACAAATTGAATTTATAGCTCTTCTCTTTGTGAAAAACACAGTGGCTGAGCCCACTGAACAGGAGGGAAAGTATAAATGTCCAGAGACAAATGCAGTCATTTCAATGACTGTGCCCTCTGTGAGTGTTGTTTTTGTGGTCTGTTTCTGCCTGTTTCTCGTTGTTTTTCCTCTGTCTGTGCCCATCCATTGGATTCGCCTGTATAGGTAGTGCACGCCTGCTCTTGTTTTGCATGGTCTAGTACGTGCTGTTTGGATCTGTTGGAGCTCTGTGGTGTGTGTTGGTTATTTCAGAAAAGAATTGAAATCTTGTGTTTGAAAGTCCCTGCCAAAGCAGCAGTACCAACTCCAGCCTTCCTTCTGGGATTGTTTATTTATTCTCCCTCTGATCCAGTTAAAAACTTTCCTTTCTTCCTTCCCTGCACTGTTATCAAAATTTAATCTGGCTGTATGAAAGGAAGGGATTGTCTAAAAAGGAGTGAGGTATTTTACCCTTTCTTTTCAAAAGCTATAGTTCCAGGCATCTTGCTTGGGTTTCTCATGGCTTCAGTTTACAGTTTTGTTTTTTATATATACATACATACATATATATTTTTTTGACACAAAATGGCTTAAAGTCTCCCAAGCTCCTTGAAGTACTTCTTCTGAACATCATTTTGTGTATGTTTAGCAATTTTCCTGATTGGTGCTTCAGCAACATGTAGGTGGAAAAAATAATAATGTCTGGATAAGCAGCATATAGAAATGTAGGCCATCCACTAAGGTTTTTATTTGCAAGTATCTGTTGTACATTTAATTAAAAAAAAAAAAAAGTAGGTTAATCTTTTTATTATACATCCCATTCTTCTTCTGCCTTCTTATTATCATTCAGTTGTTACTTTCCCATTGTCATGGGGCCTGATGATGCTGTATTGTCTCTTCTGGGAGCTGGTAGCAGGAAGACAGTGAAGCTAGAATTCCTTCAACCTTACCACATCTTTCGTCCTTCAAGAGTAGGAAAGAACGCTACGTTGGTGTAATACTTTTCTGTGTGTGTGTTTTACAGATAGAATCTTCTTTTGCATTTGTTATATGTATGTGAGCTCGAGGCAGATATGCTCATTTATCATTCTTTGAACGATTTTCATACTGGGGTTAACATATGAGGGGAAAAAAAGCATACGGTAATAAATATTTACTCTAGTGGGAGTCAGGCTCGGCTCTTGGAAAGTGAGTGGGAGTACTCAATCAACTTCAAAGGGACTCGGATCGAGCTATTCACGCTGTGCTGAAAAATCAGAGTTTTTTTGTTAAGTTCTCTATTCTACAGGTACTTACAGTGCGAGTTTAGCGCTGTTGAATTTCATGAATCTGTTCATGCCAGTGAATAATGCAGGTGAGGAAGGGCAACACTGCAAGTCTGGAGTTAGCAACGTGAAATTTTTCATCGTGCTTGAATTTGCTTCTAGTGAAACCCATCCTTCCAAATACGAAGCTTTGCCTTGTCCTAAATGTTGTTTTTCCCCTTTGAGACTTGAAAGATTAACACTTCTGTTAAAATTGGGTATCTCGGTAAGGGCATTTGAAACCTGCTGAGAACTGCAAAGAAAGGGATGCATTTATATTCTCACGATGAAGTGCATTTTCAACATAGTTTATCTCTATGTGAGAGCTCTGATCCCAAGGTTAGCTGGGCTCTAGGTTCCCCACAAAGACTGTTTTTCCCCTGTATTCTTTTAATATTTTTACATGAAAGAGAATGGAAGAGAGATGTACAGTCAAATTATAATTTTAATTATTCATTCACATACCAACAGGAATTAATAATATTGGCAAGTAGTTCCTATTCATACTTAAACAATAACAATCAAATGACACTGTGAAATTGAACATTACGTTATCGGATATTTTTCGTCACTGTTCAGGAGCCATTCTAGGACCAGATAATTTGTGGCAGAGGAGGACAGCGAGATGCAAGACAGCAAAAAGGCATGGCAAACCAATAGCACTTCAGTTAAAATGTGTAAGTCCCAAAGGAGATTTTCACCTCTCAAGTGCTGAGCAGATGTGCTAACACCAAAGATTGCTCTGGAAGGGACTTGTTACATGCCACCTTTTTTAATTCAAGCTCATTCCCAGCACTGCTGTTAGTTTGTGTAGTTGTAGGGGGGGAGATGGCTTTGACTTCCATGAAAAGTCACATTAACTGTGGCAGTGGGAAGGAGAACACGTTTTCCCACATTTCCAGTGTGAGTCGTGACTTCACCAAAAAAACTGGCAGGACAGAGTTTTCTTTGCAGTATTTTGACTCTGATTCAAAGCAAAGTCTCTAAGTAATGTGGTTGGTTTATCAACTGCATTTAAGTAATGCAAACAACAAGGAGTTCTTTATTAGATTCAGGTGCTGCATTATAAATGCAGATTAAATGAATGATATTCTCTATAGAGAATGAGCCACCTGGTTTGCCTCACAGCAATAACAGAAAATAAACAAATGCTGCTGACTTTTGTTTTGTTTTCAGCAAAAAGCTCAGTGACTCTAATGTCCTGCTTTTAGCACTGTGAGTGCTGATGGTTCTGAGTGTTTCTCTAAAATTCAGCTCCTGACATATTCGATTACTCTTCTTTGATGCTGTTCAGTAGCTCTCAATTTTTTTAAATGTTTTGCTCTTAAGTTTTGGCCACGTAGGGGGACTTCTATGACAATGTTTTATATTCCCAAAGTCTTGTTCCATCACTGAATGTGGATTTTTCTTGAATCTGGCATTAAAATGAAGATGCAGGTAAACCATTCCTCTTTAGGTCGGGTAATCACTGAAACCTCTGCATTCTGGAAGATAGGACTGTTTTCATTTATACCACAGAAGAATGAATAGTGAGATGATGGGACATGGTCTGTGTATGGTCTGCTCTTTTCCAGGAACATAAGGGAGGCAGGCAGAGTGTTGCATCATGACTGAAGTAGTATTCACTACTGTAAGGAAACATCTGTCAGGCTCACTTGAAGCTGAACTGACGGAGAATTAAGTAAAGTATTATCTGAAGCTGTAATTCTCTATCATAGAAGTCCAGTCTGATGTTGATGTATGTTACACAAAGAGAAGAAGGTTAATGGGGTAGTGGGCGATGGAGCAAGCAGTGATGAGTAATTGGAGAGTTCTTGTCTGCTGCACTAGATGTAGTCCTTGCCTCGTAGAGCACAGATTAAACATGTGCAGCATGTTGTGTGGTCTGTCCTGAGTGCTGTTTTAGTTTTGTTGTAATTGATTTAATGTAATAGAAATAATTGCTAATTTTTCTCTGCTTCTGGCTTTAATTCCACAGTAGAATAAGGAAGTGTGTGGCTTGCCTGTGCCATGTGTCTGTCTGTCATGGTTTAAGGCTTGCATTTGATGCCTGCGTGTTGCAGGTTGATATACCAATAGTGCAAGGTGTTTCTGTCTTCCCTCTGAATAACCATTTATGTAGGGTACTTGTTGAAATACCTTCTTAATTATTATTTTTCCTGTCGAAGCTAATGTTAAATTACTTAAATTGTTTTAAACCTATAAATGACATTAACTTTATTTTTGCTTCTCTAGGAGATGGAGGCAATAAATTTGTCTTAAGTTCAATGCCAGTCTTTTTTTTTTTTATTTATTTTCCTGGGCCTTTCAAACTTTTGTTGTCTGCATCTTAAATCATTCTCAAAAGTATCAAACAATGAGCATTATTCAGAAGTCTCCAGGAAATACACACATCCTATTTTTTTTTCTCTCCAGGCCATAAACAAAGGCGAGTTGAGGGAAAACTTAAACTGTTCCAGGAAGCAGCCGTCCCTACTTGTTAGCAACTTCATTCTTTGTGTGTTCTTTCCAAATGTGTTCCTCCATCATTTGTAAGTCACTTTGTCAAATCTTAAGTAAATTTCAGGCTGGTTTCTCTCATTCCTCTTTGTCAGTAACCTAAGTAACCAAAACTGGGCTCCATTCCTACGAGTCAGGAGTAGTGGGAACATACTGGGTTTTAAGGAACAGCTAAGCTACAGTTTTGGACTAAGTTAAATCCATTTATGAACGTGTTTGGCTCAGTAAGGGTCATGCCAACTGTTTCATGAAATGTAGGACTGTTTTCTTGCAGATGAGTGGCATGAAGAAAAATGTGAAAGCATCCAAGTCGAGGCTTTCTAGCTGAACCTGTTCTCTGCAAGATGAGACATCTGCATGCGTTCTCCCATCTGACTTGAGACGGGTGGGAAGAAAACCTTCCAGTGAAATCTGCTGGATTTTTCATTCTCTCAGTTGATAAAGCTGAGTTTGGAATGTGAATTTTCTGAAATCCTTCTGTTATCACAGGTGCTGTAAACCCGTGTTAGCAAGCTGTCACTGTGGTTTTTAAGGTGGCTGTTGCCATATGTTGTCCAACTCAGGTGTGACTGTTTATTTAGCTGATTCATCTTTATTCTCACAGACACAGAATTTTTCAAAAACAGTGCTAAGCTATTAAGTTTTAATAGATTTTGCTAAATGCAATTTGCTAAGACTGAAAGAAAAAACAGGTTTGATCGGCTGTTTGAGAGAAGGCAATTCAAGATCTGGTCTGTTCTCAGGTGTGAAATTAAGTTCACAGATGTGACGGATCATCCTGAATCACAGAATAATTCAGGTTGGAAGGAACCTCAGGAAGTCACCTAATCCAACCTCCTCTTCGAAGTGGGTCTGACTAGATAAGGTTGCTCAGTGCCTTGTCCTTTTCAGTCTTGAATATCTCCAAGGATGGGAGGTTCCACGGCCTTCCAGGCCTGCTGTTCTGGTATTTACCAGCCTTGTGATTAAAGTAATTTTACTTTATATTTGATTGGAATTTCCCATGTCACAGCCTCTGTCCTTTGCCCCTTGTCCTATACAGCTGTAAAAAAGTGTGGCTCCTTCTCTTCACCCTCATCTGGTCATTGGTGCCAGCAGTAGGTCTCCCTTTAACTCTTCTTAAGCCTGAACAAACCCAACCAGCCTCACTTCAATGCGTTTAAATGCTTGAGTTTATTGATACGTTTGATTCTTACCTGTCTTGGAAAATTTGCTTTTAAACAAAGGTGAAAATAGGTTTCTTTCTTGCTCGGTAATTTTTCTCTGACTGTTCATGCCATTGTATGCAGTATCTGTAATGGTATGGGAAATTTCTCAGAAAAGCCAATATGCCGTGCATCTTTTTTTTTTTTCTTCAGTAGTTACATTAGCAGTGGTGATTTTGCCGTTACGCAAATGGCCATTTGCTTCTTACCTTTAAATTTCTCTTTAATCAGTTTGTCTTGAACTTTCTCATTTTAAACAATGCTGTTAGCAGCTTCTCCTTTAAAATAAATAGTGCCTTTTAGAAATCAGATGTATCAGCTGTAGAGAGCACTGCCAATGAAGTACTCTAGCAAACTGAAACTTGAGTTTGTATCTCAGTGAAGTTCTGCCTTCTGAATACTGAGGCAATGGTTGCGTTTTGTTCTCAATATGAGCGTTCAAGACTGAAATGTTAAAAAATCAAGTGATGTTGGAAGCCTGCCTTGGGGAATTGTGTATGTTGCTCCATGCTGTTGCGTTGTGGAATGAGCTAGTTACAATTGTGGAGCCACTCTTAAACATTTGAAACCTTTGTGTGTTCTTTCTCTGCTCTAGAGAAGTCCTGAATTGAGAGGCTGGTGAGGAGACAAAAGTAGAGCTCAGTATTATAATTTTCTTATCTCAGCTGGAGTTCTGAAACTAGTTTTGAAGTGAGTAATCTGGCTAGTGCCTCACAAGTGTACTTACTGATGCTGCAGACTGGAAAAAACACTTCCTGCAAGCTGTGCACAAAGGGGGAGTGTTGATGTCTAAGTTGGGGGTTTGAGGGTGCTGACCGTCTGTGCAGTTAGGGCTCAGGTTAGCAGAAAGGTTAATCCTGCAGTGTACCCAAGCTAGTGTAAGTCTTAGAGAAGATTGAGTATGCTCAGCATTTAGCTTCAGTCTGGGTTGTGGCCTCGTGCTTAGGAGCTAGATTTACGGAAAGACCTGAACACCTTTGCTTAGCAGAGGTCTCTGAATCCCTTTTTCTTTTCCTTTTTCTTTCCTTTGCCCCCCAGAATGTATTAGGGATGTTTAAAGTATCTGCGAGTCTGTCCCTTCTCTTTTAAATTTGTGTGGTTATGAATCATCTTACATCCTGCTGCAAATCAAGGAGAAAAATCCTGAAGCACTTGTATGACTAGCAGTAAATCAGCTTGATGTGGAGGAAGAACGATAAAGTAAGTCAGATGTGATGTGTTGGAGTCTTACAAACGCTACTCCTGGTTGTTCTTTCCAGACATCAAAATACCTTTGGGGACCATTTAGGTGGGTACAGCTTAAGCTTTTACTACCAGCGTTGTGTTCAGGTAAAAGGGGGCCGTGGAAATCTGGTGGTTCATTAATTGGATAGTCCTCTCCATGTTAAACAGTTATTTGCATTGAAACAGTAGTTAAGGAGGGGTGAGAAGGGCTGCATGTGGAGGCATGCTGAAGTCTTCCTGCTCTTGCCGTTGGTACTCTTGTCAAGAAGGGAGAAAAATGGCTGAGATGGCAGCAGTGACTGGAAGAAGCCTAGAGGGTGTTTTTTGGCTCACCCAGATGCTGGAAGAAATTAACTGTGGGTAGAAGGAGGACTCTGGCAGCCTGGAAAGTGTCTGCGGGAATGGTGTGTGTTAGGCGTGAGAGTCTCTGAACAGCTTCATTTTGTTGTTGTGCTGAGACCCCTTCACCTGCGCCTCTTTAGATGTGTTTTATACCAGACTGGGTGCATCCAGCTGCTGTAGAAGAACATTACACCAAAATACACTGAGTAGTAAACTGCAAACCAGCTGAAATAACGGCGTCATGCCTTTAAAAACAGGAAAGGGTGTTTTTGCTTAACCCCTCCGTGAAGTTTATACTGCTTTCCTATTCTCTGCTTGGGGGATGTTGGAGTCATTGGTCACTTTGGAAGTGCCATCTCCTCGCAGTGGAGCTGTGCTCTTCTTTTTTCTGTGTAAGAAATGAATTGGTATAGCCGGACAGCTGCCTCTTAACGCCCCTTCCCAAACTGTCTGCCACCACTAATTTTAGTTAGTTACATCTCTGAGTCTGAATTCCCATCAAGAGGAGTGAAAAAAGCTGAGTGGCAGCAGGGACAGATTTCTATTTCTGATGTTAATTATACCCCTTTCTATACAGGGACAGCATGGATCACAGAACTCTGTCTACACCCTGAAAAATGTTTCCTCGTCCACCCACCTGTTTAGACACTAATGCTTCAAAATAGACAAATGTTTGTATTGTACATCAGCTTAAAATGCAGTGGCCAGACATGTTTTTGAAGGAAGAAGCCCAAAAGAATGCGATTTAAAATTACTGTAAGAGAGCTAATGGCTTCAATTTTATTTTAAAAGTGGTTTCTGAGGCTAAATGAAAGCCATGGCAGTAGGCTGTAAACATTTTTATCTGCTATTGACGTCTCTCTCTGACATCTTCCAAAGGTGTGAAAGTACTGAGTGTAGGATTTTCAGCTGTTCTATTAAATGCATGTCCTGTGCTTACTTGCATTGAGTTTCAAATGGATGCAGTTCCCTTCCACAAGCAAAGCAACCTGAAGATAATCTGACAAGTTGTAGAACATGCAATGCCCAACAACGGGCATCCGTGTGTGCTTAGTGTACAATGTATGGTGTACGTATAGAAAACTGACACTCACGTGTTTTAATCATTTGGAGTGCCAATATCTATATTAAAAATAAAAATAACACACTCTTACCACCTTGCATTCCAGTTCTATTTTTGCCATTCTTGATTTATTCCTTCTTCTTATGAATGTTCTCTTTGAATTTCAGAGTAATTGGCCTGGGAGCTGCCACGATTCTGTTCCGTCAAGGAGAGTAGTCATTTCTCACAACATGGATAAAGCACTGAAAGAAGGTGAGTCCTACCTTGCACAAAGAAGCATTAGATCCTGTGCATCTCTTGTGTTCTTACCAAATTATGGCTGCAGAATATGCCAGGATTTTAGAATGTGACCCTGGATTCTTATTCCTTGATTAAAAAAAATAATAAATAAAATCAAGTCTTGGTCTTGCCAAGAGATCTGATGCAGTAAGTAACGCTATGTCAGTTAAACTGCAAAAACAATATCTTGTTATTTTAACTTATGGTTTTCACAGAAACATGGAAATTATGTGAAAATTGAGTCCTCTGCACACAAAACAAGAAAACAATGTTTCAAAGATTCAACCAGGTGTCTCTGAACTGATAAAATCTAGACACTTGTAATCGGTCTTCCCATTTAGTCAAATTCTTGTCATGAAAACTGAATCTGAAATGATCATCTGTACTTTTGGCTGCTATGGTATATGAAATCTGTGGCTCACCAGTGCATCCTTGGCTTTAGCTTGTGAAATGTGAATTATGGATTGTATGAATTCAAAGTAGTTTGTTTATAATTTTTTTAAGAAAGAACTGCTGCTTCCACATGTGTTTTTCAACATGTTTATCAGTGCAGAATCAGAGGTAGAGGGGTTATTTAGAGAGAGACCAGAGGCACTGTGGGTTGCTGGGGGGGGAAGGCATTTTGTTAACTTTCCTCCTGCTGCTTGCATAGAAGAGAAACAGCTTCTGCATTTTTGACAACATGGCAGCTGCTGTCATCTGAGGTTATTTATTCATTAGGTTGTTCAATTGGGTTCATAAGTCCATCCTTACTCCGTAAAGCTGCAAGTAAGTTAACAATATACTCGTGATTCAGTTTTCAGTGTTGAGGCGCTGCTGTTGTGACAACTTACTTAACTGCTATTTCTTTTCAGAACATCTCTTACCTTCCTCTCACGCTCTGAATTTTGGAGAGCAAACTTGTCAGATTGGTTGTACTTCTTCCAGGCCTCGTTAAATGACTAATAAAACCAGCTTGTTCTGTTATGCAGTTTAACAAGGATGAGACTTCTCAGTCTACCACAAGTAGATTAAAGCAAGCTTTTTTCCCCCAAAGTGTTTAAATCAGCTTGAGATACTAAATGAATTCAACAAGGAAACATTTTACTTTTTTTATTAGACTAAAACAGTCAGTCTCTTTCAAAATGGACTGCATACATTCCTTGCCCTGTGACAGTTCTGAAATATGTAATTATTTTAATACTATTACACCCTTATTTTACAAGTTTGTAGTTAAAAAAAAAAACACAAACCCACGGCTAATGATAGAAAAATAAAAACAAAAATAAAAAAAACATACCCTGCGTGTATTTCTGTTTCATTAGTGCCATATGCTAATGCCAATCACTCTTATAGTAATGAGTATTAAAGTATTTGTGAACCCTAGGAATTTTTGCCAACTTCGTGCTCTCCAGGTCTAATGTTCAATTCAATAAAATGTTTTAAAAAGTCTGATCCATCAAGTAGACTTTTCAGTTCTGTATTTTCAATCTTGGAACAGTTCAGATTCCTACCACCACATGAGGTTTTCAGATGTTGTCAGAGTGAATGGGGTTTTGCAATGTATTTTTAAATTGGATTTTAGTTTTATTTACATTACCTCAGAGATGCAAGGATAACGTTTTCAGAGGAGGCAGTATCACTTAATTTCAGACTTGCTGTTGCCATTTCCGAAGAGACAGCCTTTTGATTAATTCTGACTTCAGCTGTTTTAAACAGTCAGTTTGCTGTTACTTGTTAACTGTCTTGCATCCCTCCAGAGTTACCTGTTGACTTCTGCTCTCCTGTCACATTTTTGCTGATGTTACAGCCAATCTGCATGCACTTTTCTCTCTGGTTGGAGTCACACCATATTATTGCACAGTTCTCTAAGGTTCTGTGATGCCTCTCTCTTGACAAGCTGTCTTGTGCTATATTGCATTTTTTGTTTTCATGGGCTGTTAAGTTAGTTGGAAGGAGAGACATCGTTGGTTATCCTTAGTTTTAATTGAAGGAGTTGTTATTGTTTCCGTTTCAGTCATTGGTGTTATTTTATTAAACTTTATGTAGTGCTTGGATACTTTTCTGGTGATACTAACCAGCAGACAGTAGTTGCCTTCATCTTGAATTGCTTCTCCTGCTGAAGCCAGCATAACAGAGTCTGGAATTGTCATTCAACGATGTCAATCACTTACTCCACCAAAAAGGAACTTTTTGTTTACATCTCTTTACAGCTCGGTTCTCAACTTCTCTCTTATTTCATATAGACAAGCAAGTAATGTTAAAGGACAGTGCTTCAGAGTACTTCTTTGCTCTTAATTGTAGCATCCTTGCAAAAGCTGCGGATAAAAGGTGAGGGAAAGCTGTCTACTATCCCTGTTACCATGTGATGTTTCATGAAATCTAAGCACGCAAAATTGGAACAAGTGTAATGCTATACAGAGATTTTCTTTCTGCTGCATTCAACAAGGAAAACAAACATTTAGTTTTAAAATGGTGAGTCCTTTTTTTCAGAATGCTGTCGAGGCTGAGGGCCATAGCCATCAGCAAGTTTCTATGCCATGAGTGTAGTCGGTCTCCCAGGAACTAAATTTTATCTTCCATTTTAATTGTTTGATATTCTGTGGTCTTTTAATGTTCTTCACAGCCAATATTCATCTTAATTATCTTCATAGTATCTGGAAAATCGGTCTTCATATTATTTACCTGCTTTTCTGGATCATTTATGAGTAAGTAAAACGGTATGGTTCATGGAACAAATTCCAGCAGAACTCCACTTCTGAAATTCTTCTACTATGAAAACTACTTATTTATTCATTCCCTTTGTTTCATTTCCCTGAAAATATTTCTGTGCCAGGGAACCGTCTCTTACTCTATAGCTGCTTAGCTTCCTTAACCCCTGTGTTGAGGCTGCCTTCTTAAAAATATTTTGGAAATTTCATAAATTTATATCCGTGGATCAGAACTTGCCCATCTGTGTTCTTGTTGACCCTTTAGAAGAATATCAGAGTAAGGTTTCTGTTTATAAAAGGGAAAGCATTCCAGTTTAAGACCCACACATTGACATTTAAGGAAAAAAAAATGCAATACCTTCTGTGGCGCTAGTTGAAAAGCTGTGTTTTTTTCCACAGCTCTCAAAAATCAGTTGTTTGGGTCCAAAATCTGAGCAAGGCCTAATTTGAATTCATGTTCTCTCTGCTACTGGGATTCAAACACTTGGATCTAAGAACTCTCTTGGCAGAGAGTACACGGGCAAAATAATTTGAACAGAAATTAGTCTGATACTTTTTTTAACGTGTCTCCTGGATATTTATAACACGTTTTTTCTCTATTCTTTGTATATTTGGAAATTTCCTTTTTTTTTTTTTTTTTGCTACACATTTGTAGTAAGTATTAAGCAAATGTCAAGACAAAGTTGATAAAAATAACACCAACAATATGAAATGGGAAACTGTACAGGCATGGTCTTTTTTGCATAGGAGCAATAATAACATCTAGGCTATAAAAAAAAAAAGAAAAAAAAAAAACAAACAACAAACAACACGTGAGTTTTATCGAGGCTGAATAATATTATAAAACATGACTGAACTGAAAAACATGACAGAAACACCGATATTTTTCCAAGCACAAACTTGATCAACAGAACTCAGATGGTAACATTGTTATTACCAGTGACTGGGGCATGTTCACACCATTTTTCACCAGCCTCTAGCGGCCAGGTCTAAATAAAGGCTTGGTGAGCATGGGAAACTTCAATGAATCAAGATAATGTTAAGTATGAAACTTCATCATCTTGATTTGTGTTGTATAGCTAAAACGTAATAAAGTCTAAAATACATCAGGTGAATAATGGCTTTTATGCCTTTGGATTTAAAAATCACTATCTTGGAAATGATGGAGTTACACATATTCAGATTATCTATTAGTGATTTTTCTAGGGATTTCAGCAGAGTGGCTGTAATATTTTAGCTTGTCATTTGAGGGTGAAGATGAGGCTTTTTTTTGACTGAACTGGATTTGGGCAGTGGACAAAAGTAGTAGCTGTAACAAGTTTTATAGAACAGCTCTTTGCCAGGTAGTTATGAGTGCATATTGTCTGTCATCTTCTGCTAAACTTTTATTTAATGTATTTTTCTTCAGGTCTAGTTTCTGATAACCACATCGTGTGTCTTAAATCTGGCATGATTTTTTTTTTTTTTTTTCGTCTCCCATAAAGCTGGGTAGTGAATCTCAGCTGTGTAAGAGCTGCCTGGTATGAGCTCTGCATGTTGCAGATTTGAAGCTAGTCTGGTTCCCTGCTTCCTGTGGATGCTAAATGTATGCAGAAGAAGGGTTAGCAGTTCACACCTCTGTGGGGTTAGAGAAGAAGAATCTGGAAGGGTGTCCTCACTAACCCCCCGACGTAAAGCTTCTGGCTGCATGTCCCAGCACTCCTGGCAGCCTAAAAAGAGTCATGGAGGAGGCCCATGTTCACACTGATGCAGGATTGTTTTTTAATCAATTATAAAAACTGGGGACTCAGATCTAATAGAGACACCAGCTGCATCGCTAGGCAGGCGCCTGAGGCAGCCACAGCACATCATGGCCAGGCTGACACACGTGGATGAGGCAGGGTCTTATTCCAGGACAGGGTGCAGTTGGTGTCAGTGGCTGGTTGTTTTCATACTTTGCCTTGTTGGTATCTGGTTTTAAAATAAAGAAACAAAATCCTAAGGGTTGTCTCAGTGCTCGTTTGGACAAATATTGTAGGCTTTAAAGTACCCCCAGGTTTTATAGAAAACAAGACACTTCAATTTTAGTGATTCAGGAAGGGCAACAAAGCTCACAGATGGCGAGCAAACCATAGAAAAGGTGTAGAGGAAGAGAGTTATCAAAGGTAGGGTGCAGAAAATGGGTTTTAGAATGGGGAAATCCATTTAAAGTGTTCAAATTGTGGAACTGACAGAAACCCAAGTGAAGTATTTCATACTTGCACAGCTTATTCTTTGGTAATAATTGGTGATGTTTTGTTTTTAGCTTAATACCAGTACTAGATTTCATGGATCTTTAATGGTATGGCTCTTTAGGTGCAGTGAACATCACCTTGCTTTGCCTGAGCAGGAGTCTTCCCATTGTGATAGCTCTTGTTACGCTCCCTGTTGAAATACCTGAAGCAAATTTGCAAGAGTTGGGCTCTTGTAATTCCTTACTAATTAGCAGGGTTGCATATTTTGATCTGCTTTCCCAGAGCAGAGAGACTTAAAGTTGTATGTAATGGTGATTATGGAGAGAATGAGCAACAGAGTTCATTTGGGAGAGGAGCTGCCTGAAAGTACAGTTACAAACTAAGGCTCAGGTGGAATAGGTGTGTGTTCTGAAAGAGAATATCGCCTGAGGGATAGAGATACAAGTTTTCTCTTGTTTTGTAGAGGACTGCCCAAAACAGGTAAGGAGCCACCACTCCTCTATACCATGACTTGTTGCCTTAGGCAATGGGTGCTGAAGAAGTGTGCTGCTTTAGAGTAAGTGACTGCAAGGGTGTCTGCAAGAGAATCTGAAAAACGAAGTCACTGTCAGTCAGGGGTGGTAATCACAAGTACCGAAAGGCAGTGTCTTTTGATTACCTTGAAGAAACACAGGTCTTTTTCAGGATAGGTGAGAAGAGAATCTGTGCTGTGACAGCTTTCCATCGCTCGTCAGATGCTGCAACAGAGGCAAAGCCGTCAGAAAAAGGTGGTTGCGGAAGGACAGGGGGACAGCTGTAGGAAAAATAGATGCTTAAAATGTGTGTTATCTCAAGTGTCCCATGACAAGGAATAACCCTCAGTTTTCAAAATACTGTTCCTAATTGCTCTTAGGTGTGTTGAGTGGTTATTCCTCAGTTTATCAAAAGCTTATCAGATCAGCAAAAGACCACTGTCTTTTATAACTATCATATCACTTCATGGTATTTGTTGGTGGCAGGTTTCAATGAAATATAACTTCTGTTCTAGAAAAGTAAAGAAGTTGGGTCTGTTTTAAAGTTTGAAATTACCATCTTGCAATATGACTGTATTTTTTTCTCACATCTCTGAAAAAGAAAACTTCAGAACTGCTATTTACTTATTTATATATTTATTTGGTGAAATGTTTTTTCTGAATAATTCATTTGAAAGCCTTGAAATGACTTAGTAAATGACTGAACATATTCCTTCTCAGTGAAGTGAGTCAGTTTCTTAAACAACCTGCAGAATTGATTGATAAGGGTTTCTAGTCAAATGCTTCAGAAAATTTAATCTTTTCTTTAGAAATGTTTTTGATGAAGTGATGTAGGATGAAGCCTCCTAGTATTTCAGGGAGGCAGAAGTATTCAGCATAAGTTGTTATGCTATTACTATGTTACTAATTCATTGTCATAGTGCCAGGGAGCTTTTTATAGTTTACTAGGCTGCCAAAAAAATAATTTCCATCAAAGTGAAAGCTAAAAAATAGTGGAATCACATGGTTATTTTAAACCATAGGCTTACAGTGACAAACTAGGTGTACTTTTGACATTAAAACAAAACAAAACAAAAAACTCTGATTTCAGAGTGCCTGGTCAAGAACCACCTGCTCAGATTATCAGGCATGCAACTTTTTTTTTTTTTTTTTCCTCCTCCCTTCCTGTTCAGTTACCCCTCTGTTAATTCCAAGCTGATTTGCATCCCATTCACCGCACCCTCCTCCCCAGCTTCATTCCCACCTTGCTGGCAATGCTAAATGTGGCTTGTGCGTGCTTCCTGAAGACTTCCTGCTCCCTCCCAGCACTCCAGGAACATCTGCTAGTGCTAGTAATGCATCAGTAAAACTGGAGACACACAAGTGTTGTCAAAAAGAAAAACTAGTAGAAGAAGGTCTTGTCATGGAACACACCATTACAGTGATCCTGTTGCTTGTAGCTACAGTTTGGAATATCACCTTTGAAATTCATGTTGTCTTTCTAATCTACTTCTCTTCCATCTCTAGCTCTGTCAATCCTACAATGTACTTTATGTAGCGTTAGGTATGTCTATTGAGATACCAAATATTTCCACCTCCTCTCTTAACAGCGATTTTGGAGTGGAGACTGAGTTTGTGGCTGAAGAAGGTTGGTTTCGATCTGCAGCAGCCTAGATACAACCAGATTATGTGATAGTTCCTATAACCAAATCCGCTACTGAGACACAGAGACTAGTTTGGGGTTAGTGTGTTGCTTGTAACCTGGCTGACCGAGCAAATCCACTTACAGGCTTTGCTTTGCAAAGTGACCTCCAGTAACCTGGGAGGTGCTGATTTCTGCAGCTTTGCCAACCTGGCACTGGGGAGAATTTAAAGCCTAAAGGAAAATATATGAAACTTAAGACCCATCTTATTACTGAGGAGATGGGTGGAGGGCTCAGTTTCTATCCTGGTGTGCCTTCCCCTTTTGCAGTCCTTGGTACTGATTGTTTTGTTTCTCCTTTCAGTGTTTGACTACAGCTACAGAGATTACATCCTGTCCTGGTATGGGCCACTCAGCAGAGATGAAGGGCAGCTGTACCAGCTGCTATCTGAAGACTTCTGGGAGATTGCCAAGCAGCTGCGACAGAGGCTGAGTCACATTGATGTAGTTAAAGTCGTCTGCAATGATGTAGTGAAAGCTTTACTCACACACTTCCGTGACCTTAAAGGAGCCAATGCCAGGTAAAACCAGAGCTGAGTTTCATTGGAATTTTCTGCTCATCTCTTTGCTTTTAGATGTGTGATATCAAGGCAATGAAGAATGTAACATTTCTGTAGGCAACTGATAAAACAGTTCATGTTTATTAACAGTTTTAGAGAGCTAGCAGGCTTCAAGGCACCTATAAGACCCGTGGAAGGAAATGTTTGTCCTTCTTTTTTAATGGTTGAGATTCACTGCTATTTCCATTTCATCTTTGAATTCTTTGCTCGCAGTAGGAGGCGGGCTGTCTGAGCAGCTCCTGCAAGTAGTGCAAACCTGCAAGGAAAAGGAGAGGCACTGTCAGAGCAGGCAACAAACGAGAATGTAGTTATTTGCACCTTTCCCAAAATAGCACAAGGGTTAATTCCATTCAGTTTTCTGTTTCTGCTAGCCCCAGGAGGGAAAGCTTCATGATTTCTCTAAGCGGTCTGTCCTGCAGTAACTAGATTTTTTCCTAGTGAAAAATTGTTGGCTGGATTTTCTTTCTCTTTTTAGGTTACCTTGTTAATTCTGTGAATTTCCTCTTTGCCCACTTAAAAAGGTCAGCTGTCTCCTAAAAACTGTCGCACCCAAATTGTAATTGCGTGTGGGAGCTCTCATGCCTACGCAGTTCACTGATCCAAATGAGTGGCTCATGGAATTGTGCATGGAATTTGAGCTTATATCTGTACTTACCTGCAGTTATTCCAACAGAAATGTGCTCTGGTTGTTTGGTTTTATACTGTGCATTTTATACCATGACATTGTTTTGCATACAGTTAGATTCACATATTTTTAACACTCCGGAGAAAAAAGATCAACTGGTTTTGGTCAGTGACCAGTCTCTCTGCGGTGCCATTTGCACGTCCTTCTGTTCTGGAGCAGAAGACAGGGTCAATGTATTTGTGGTAGCTGCCAGCTTTGTGTAGTCTAATCTGCAGGAAAGAAAGCAATGGAAACTAAAGAATGGTTGCCTTCAAGAAAAGAATGTAGAATGTATGTAGGCACATTACAGTAACATTGTGTCATCACATTATTGTCCCAATAACAATGCATTACCTGAATTCCAGATACTGTTTTGTTTTAGATCTAGTATATGGTAAAAATCTTGTGGTCCGGTAAAGCTCTTGATGGTGCTCTCTGATTTTAAGCATGGTGCTTGCACTTGACCTTTGTCATGGTAAAATACTTGCTTTGAGGGGGGAAAGGTATGATTAGAAAATTTAAAGGATGAGGACGGTTGGTTTGTTTGTTGGGTTGAAGTGTGACTGCTCACCTGTTTGGAGCTGGGGACACAGAATGCACAATTGCAGAATTACTAGATACTGTTAATGCTCATTCTTGATGAGATTCTTTGTCTGCTGAGAATAATGATCACCTCCACTAGATCTAGCTGGATTGTTATTTCGACTGCGTAGAGCTAAAATAAAGAAAGTCTCCTGGGTATTTTCCAATTAACTTTTTCTCTTTGGAAGGGTAAATGCACCTTAGTCATTGCTGGATAAGTCAGACTGCGTTAACATGGTAATGAGAATTAAATAGTATGATAATGGGTCAAAAAAATGCCCCACAGCCATAACTTCAGATTTTGTCTAGGTTGAAACTGGGCTCATTGTTTTTCTCGTTGTGCAAGGTTGAGAATTCACAGGGAGGAAAATCTGGTTTTAAGGTGCCTAACAGCAGACCAGCAGTCCTACCAGCTGCATGATGCGAAGTCTGAAATGCTAGCGCATCCTTGTGCTGCTCATCCAAGCTTGTTCAAAAAGCTCAAGAAGCTTTATAGGAGTTGTCCAGCTGAAATGCTGCCCCATGGCCTGTGGTGAAGTCAGCAGAAATGTGGCCATGTGCTTGCACCTGGTACAGATTGAATTGGTACTTCCAGGTGATCTGAGCGTGTGTTTCATAAACCTGAAAGCGTGCCTGAGGCTCTGATACAGTTTTCTGTTTTGCCTTCAAGGGAATGTGGTACTCAGAATAATTTGAGTTTGGTACTGAATTGTTTGCTGTGCTAGAACCTGCTGGCAGCCTAAATCATAGGCTGAGAACTACCAAGTGTGTCGCTTTAGGCTTGGAAACTGCAAGCTAGAGTCTCTTTGAAAACCTGTGCTTATATTATTATGACAGCTCAAACAGAAAATTCTCCTTTCTGAGGTAGGGAGCGTGAGAGATGTCATTAGCCTCGCTTATCTTCTCATTTCTGTCAGCGTTTTAAAACCAGCAGCAGATGTAAATTGGAATTCCTGTTTCCCTCTCAGTGTCTGTAATAATGAATCTGGTTAGTTTGGGATGATGAATATAGTGGCACAGAGACCGTAATTAGAGCCGGCTATCTGTCCTGTTGTAGTGCCTGACAGAACACTGTGTCTTTTTTCCTCTGCCAGGTTTATAATGCAGCGTGGCAGCAAAGGGCATTTTGCCTGTTCTCGGGTGGCTTGCAGAGTTTTAAATACCTGTTCCAGCCCTGGAGAGGGTGCTGCCTAAAGCACTTTGTTTTCCACCTATATGACAACAGACGACCACAATAAAGTAAGGGAAAGAAACCGTCTGTCCCCAGGAGGACAGAGGTGTCAGTTTCTTCATTGCGAAGCTCGCCTGTTTTGTCACTTGGTTCACTTCGGCCGTAGAAATCCCTTCTCTGCTTTCTCTGACTGACTGAGGCCTGTGATATCTGGCAGATCAGGATGTCTGCTGGGAAGGAATAGGCTGCAACCCTTCAGAATAAGAGGCTGCTGTCCTCACCTTGCTCCTGCTTTCCCTCTGCCTTATCTCAGCCATTGCAAGGCTCCATTTGATAACAAATAGCTCAAAGTAAATGGCCAGCAGAGGCTAACAGATAAGGAAAAATGTGTGCTTGAATGAGGGAGAGGAAAGCATGAGGAGAAGAGGCTGCTCCATGCTGGCTGGTGGGAGGCAGGGGATCAGGAGGGGGAAGCCTGGCAGCGTTAGGTCTGTTTCCCTTTTCTTTCATTCTGTCCCTTCGCTTTGTTTAAAGGAAACTCTTTCCTGCTAGACACAAAGTGAAATAAGGGCAGAGATGCTCCTCTGGCTGTGGGCAAGACTGCCTGGGATGACACAGAACCGTGAAAACAGAAGACAAGATAGCTTCAGCTTTTTCATCCTGCGTACATTGTTGGGGATTATCGTGAGGTCCAGTTGGGGCTGCAAAGGATCCCGTCAGTATTCAGTTACAAAATTAGTGGCAATTCAACATTTTTTAGATAGGAAACCATTTGCTTCCTGACATTAGCTCAGTGTAGAAATGAAAATTCTGACTTGAGATAGGAAAAGAAAAAATCAGCTTTGGGTTTGCTGGGGGAAATGGATAGTTCTTCGTTGTGCTTAATCAGGAGTGAGGTTATAACAGGATTAGTCCTAGTCCGTCCAGCAGGATATGGTCCTGTCGTTGCAGAGAGGGTTGTATTCGGTGATTCTTGCTTTATAGCAGCTTTTGGCCCTCTGCTCCTTAATGTCTTGTGCAAGTTTATTTCCTTGGCTACTTCATGTAAAGCGTAAATTGAATATATGTGAGTATTTAGTGCTGGACTGTGAGCTGCGTAGGGTGGCGTGTAATGCTGCAGGTTTCTACACTGGTAGGTGGTGCAGCATTGACTGTGGTGCCAGTATCCTTTCCGTGGGGCTAGAATTACCTGATCCTGGCAACGTGTTCTTGCTCTGGTAACTTGAAATGTTTGTCGAGAGCAAGAGGCAGCAGGTCCTCTTGGTGAGCCACACATTCAGTACCTTAGGGACCTAGCAAAGAAAACAACCAACAAATAGTGGCTGTGAATCTGTCCACGTGGAAGGAAGGGGAAGTTCCCTCACACCTGCTGTGGGCTAAGAATTACCCCCCTCAGATACTGCTACAGGGCTCTTAACGTTTGCTAAATAACACCCTGGGCTGGTGGTCTCTAAACTGCAGCGTAGCCAAATGAGATCTGCCTGCTCTAGATTTGTAGGCAAATGAAATGCAGGAGCTGTTCACGCTGGCCTGTTGTTGAACCCACTGACAAGCAGTGCTTTTTGAGCAGAGCTCGGTGGGAGGCGGGCACAGTGACACTGATTTTCCTAAGTCACTTGGCTGGGAGTGTTGTTTGTTTGTCTTTAACCTACGGCTGGGGCACCTTGATCCCAAAGGCAGAGGATTTCTGCAGATCCAGGTGTGTGGTGTGGCAGGCTGCTCCTGGCAAGCTGGCTGCGCCGTGCCATCTGAGGGGTGCTCAGCAGTGTGTTTGTGCTCGTGCCTGGAGTCACAGCCGAAGTCGTGACTTGGCAAAGGGGATTCCTTGGGAGCTGCAGCCGACTTCTGCTGCACGTTCAGAACCATATCGGAGGGCTCTGAGCTCTTGGGAAGGGTGAGAGGGAAAATTGCTGTTTGAGTGGTCAGTATTGACAAGTAATTTTGAGGTTTTAAGTTCACTTTGTGCCCATCTTGCCAGTATTCCTGTCATCTGCTCTGTCTCTTCTCCTCACCCTGTTGGTAATGTAACTTTATTGGGCCACGTAAACGCCTTGGCACATATAGGATATAAATTGTTGTATCCTTGTGCTTGTTGCATTGACTACATACAGTATGAGTTGGTATTTAGTAAGAGGGAAAAATGGTGCTGCCACAACAAAAATCAAGAGCAGGTGGGTGCAAAGGCAATTCAAGCACTGGAGGTATAACTTGATTAATCCTGTACGTGCATCTAAATTGTCATGGTGCATCCAAGCTACTAAACACCTCCCCCAGTCCTAGTTTCTCTTTTATAATTCCATTTTCCACCCACAAAGTAGGAATACCAAGAACTGCTTATCACAGCCTCTGAAAATGAGTATCAAGAGGATGACTATGAACGCGTAGAGGCAGGTTGCAGTGAGAGCAGCAATTTTTTGAGGTGCTGAGAACAAAACAGAAAAAGCCGGGCTCTGGGCACACTGTTCTAGTTAGCTCCTGGGTAGCTCCAGGTTTAAAGCTCGCCATTGCCTTCAAGATCCAGTGTGAGAAGTTCAGATTTCCTGT